ATCAAGCGAAGCCTTATCTATCCAAAAATACGGAATCATTGAACCTTTAAGTTGATTCAAGTGCCCTACTATGTCTAGACCTGACGATGTTACACTACACATCGAAGACTTACCTCACTCGAAGCACACTGTGTACCATTGCGACTTCACGATAGGGGGAAAGATGAGTACCTGAGGTTGCAATGGGCCTATTGTAATAGTCCGACATCTTCCAAAGGAAGATGAAAACTGCATGCATGACTTAAGAATTGTCCGTGCATACGTTGATGATCTAACTCATCCTAACTGACGTGATCATGGCATCGCGTTGAATAATAGATGACATTTCTCCAAAACTTCAAGAAGTACGGGGTTTAAATACATACCAGCTTCTCAGAAAGAACTTGAGTATCTAGACAAATTGGATATCGAGAAGATAACCAACCTTTAACTAAAAGATAATAGATGCGATCCAACTATCGCTCTCCTACGAAAAGAAGGAACTTCGTGATTCATGGACCAATGACTACCAAGGGCTGCTCCAAGACGCAGAACGGAGTAACCATCGTTTGAAACACACGTGGGTTAGCCCAGTACCATGACCGGTTGGGTTAATGGACAGAGACGTGAGGATCCGCGCAGAAGTCGAGAAAACACTCCGGATGAATATGACTTCGACCAAGTTCACAGCGCGTCAATCGTGACAAGATTCTCACATCATCCTTTTCAAAGCAAATGGAATAATATTAAGGAACGTGCCAACGACTTATCCAGAAAAACACCGATAAGGAGAACACGCACGTGTCCCTCATCAACACAATGTCAACGATACTATATTCATCAGTATCAAACGTTAGTACGGTCAGCACAAGGTCCTTACAATATGACCGAGTCAATAACAATGGCACTGTACGGCTCCGACATACTACCGCAAGCGGCACAGTCTACCAGACTTGGAACATAAGGTATTTACCCCATACAAGGCCTGATCCCTTGTAGGATTGCCATCGTGCGACGCAACATGTCTACATCCAACTCGAGAGTGCCCGCACTTTAATTCATATGTTCTCCTTGTCCGACTGATGTCGTGCCTTCGTGACCCTTGTCAGGGGCAATGCAATACACGGCTCTTAGCCTTATTCGCGACTCGATCCTAGATAGGGTTTGAGTTCGACTCATGACTGAGTCTCTTCGTGAATAGTCATGAGACAGGGTTCTCAATGACCGCTATGGTCATACTAGGTTTGTGATTGAAACATCGTCTAGTATTATAGCCAGCGTGGAGCACTTCCACGCTACTAGATAAATGCTAGACGAATCTTTCCACGCGTTCCGTTTTTGGATCGTGGAGTGAGTAGGATTGCTACCGCAACCTAATCTTCACACTCTACAGTTCTCCCGCGGGAGTTCAGATCTACGATCTTTGATTGTGGATCTCTCTCGTTGATTAGTTTTCATAGCTTTCTAATTCCTCTCATAACTTTCTTCTCTCAAACTCAAAACACTCGAAAGATCTTTACACTAGCTTTTAGCGTAGTGCAATAGGTCGAGTACTTCGTTAATAAGGAATGAAGCTGTTCCTGCTCTTCCTTATTCACCTGTTTTGACTTTGGCAACCGCTTAAGTCAGCTTGTTCGTATTTCGCACAAGAATCTTCTTGAGAATCTGCACTGTCGTCAACAGAGTAGGATCAGGAATGAAGAAATTCTTTCTTCTATTGGTGTCGCTATTTTCATAGGGAATGATGCTCCATCCACCATTCACTGACATGGTAGGAATCGAACTTAAATCCTAAGTCGGAGAGAGAATGTCTCGACCTATGATCATGTATTACGCCCCCAAGCTCTTGGTGACGTGTAAATCCCATCGATATTCTATTTCGTGGAATTCAGGAATCATGAATGCACCTTTGCATTCGTGCTGGTGTTTAAATTCCTGCAGGGGTAGTCCACATGGTTTGGACGCCCCAAAGATCCTTCATGCGTAATTTCTTAGCATGAGTTTGAGCAATCAAAGTTCCGGGATGCTCCTGTATCAGTAAGCAAGGAGTGTAACGGGTTTTGGTTTCCTTTTTCTCGTTTGTAAAATCTAACTAGACGATATAGGTTTGAGGTCTCTTGTCTTGCGACGTTTACGAGGTGGTTGGCCACGGACGGGTTAACGATGCTAAATATAGATCATCAGAGTCTAGTTGAGCAGCTTCTAGGCAATCATCTAATTTGCCGTAGAGTTCATCGGTTGCAAACAATTCTTGTTTACTAGTTAGCGAGATATCTTCATCACTTTGGTATGAGAAATCGTAACATGGTTCCGTTGAGTCATCATCCTGGCCTAATCCTCAGATAGAGATTTCTCCATTCAAGTGATTGAAATCGATAGAGGAGTTGTCCTCGTTATCAGAGTCTTCTGATTTGCGCTTGGCAACATGGTTGCGAAGTTTGCAGGTGGTTGCACGAGTATCGTCGATCTCGGTGTCTTCGTCATTGTCGATGAGAGGAAGAATGGGTTTGTCACGCAACTGTTTCTCGAAGTTGCTGAACGCATGTTTTCCTTGAGCCATCTTCATGGTGAAAGAATAGATTGAGGGTAGCTGAAAGCTATTGTGTTTGTTAACAAAATGCACTACGCTAAAAGCTAGTGTAAAGATCTTTCGAGTGTTTTTGAGTTTGAGAGAATGAAAGTTATGAGAGAGATTAGAAAGCTATGAAAACTAATCAACGAGAGAGATCATCATCAAGGGATCGTAGATCTGGCCTCCCGCGGGAGACTATAAAGTGTGATAGAGTAGGTTGCGGTAGTAATCCTACGTATCTCCACGATCCTAAAACGGAACGCGTGGAAGGTTTGTCTAGCATGGATCTAGTAGCGTGGAAGTACTCCACGCTGGCTATATATCTAGGGCGATGTTTCATCATCAACCTAGTATGACTAGAGCGGTCATTGAGAACCCTGTCTCGAATGACTATTCACGAGAGACTCAGTCATGAGTCGAACTCAAACCCTATCTAGGATCGAGTCGCGAATAAGGCTAAGAGCCGTGTATTGCACCCTTCCACCCTCACAGCATCACTTCTTTCGACTGTGTTTGATCCAACTACTCAGCCGCCCTACCCATTTTAAACAATCTTGGCTGCAAAATCTCCATGCTGCGCTTGATCGTGAAGATCGACGCCGCATGCTCCTCACAGAAGACCGCTCTTCCTCTGCCCTCTACCTCTGGATGAAAACTGGCAGACTGCTCTCTTCCCAACCCCCCTTGACATCTCTCTTCTGTCATTCCACACAACTCTATACCCCTCTCTGAACAAGTCCCAATCACACTGTCCCCACTATGTGATACCCCCTTCTCTCGTCTGGCATTCTGTCTTGTCCTGTGCTCCCTTTCCATATGTTACTGTTCCCAGAATGACCAATTCTACTCCTTCACCTGTGCCAATAGCGCCAGGTGTTGAAGGAGTGAAACAAAAGCAATCAGCCTTCGGCGCAATAGTACCTTTAGATATTTAACTAATACTAATCATTGTGCGTTACCGTTACTGCTGAGAGATCAAAAGAGAGTCCACGACCTTGAAGCCAGCACGGCTGGCAGGCATAACTGTAGGTGCTGCCATCATTCCAGCATTGGCATTGGAATGGCTAAGCAGCAACAAGATAACAAGCAGCAAGTGCTCACTCTCTTTACATCAACAACTGTCAAGGTTGCTGTCCAAAGCCTGCCTTTTCCCCTGATCCCTACCCGCCCACCCAGTGGTCAGAAGAAGCATTCAGTCAGCATTCTGGTTCCAGTGCTGATCATGACATCAGCCCTGCTCTCCCCCAACGGAACTTATGGATAGTAGCCAACAACCAACCACTTGACCATGGATGCTGAGTGGCCTAAGGAGAAGGCGACCGAGGGCTATCCTTGGACAACTGCATTATTCTTGGTTTGCTATCCCCGTCCTTGCTGCGTCGCGAGGAGAAGTTTTGAGGTTGCTATTTGTCATCTAATAAGCAAGGGCATGATTCTGAGGCACCTCCACCAAGGAACTCGAGCTCCTTTGGAACTACATAAATGGGAAATCTTCCAAGACTTTTTATTAGAGACCTGTGGCAGCATGACATCATGAGATGCAAGGAACCAACGGACTTGAGACGTGTTGGTTGGTGAAGCCATGCTTTCAGTTGAATGGAAGGAGCTTCGAAGATGGGATGTACCGGTATGCATACTAGTACTTGTGATCTTTGTAGCCAGCTAGTGTGCATAAAGGGATCAACCATGACGTCTGTGTACCTGGTACAAGGCAAAGCCAATTGGAGAATGTGATTTGCTTTCCATTACCTATTGTCATCAGGGGGATCAAGGCAACTATCAGCTCCATCTTTTTGCATCACGGCATTGGTGCTGTGACCCAAACACCTACCGGTACTGATGTACCGTATGTAGGTAGCTAGCTAGTAGAGTGATTGATTGATTTGATTTGAGCCGAAGGCCCGCATCGGTCTACGCTACGGTAGCTACTATCAGTTTGTACGGTACTAGTAGTCTTGAGCTCGCGCTGGTTATCTAGGTGACATCATTGCCACCATGGGTGGGGTGGAGCTCGGAGAAAAGCCAGCGTTCGCTTGATTCTGGTGGAGGGACAAGGAACAAGGGACCTCAAAAATTTCACTGGGATGCTCCAAGCGAGCGTTTGCCGTTCCAAATGTCACGTGGGAAGATGCTATCCTTAGCTTGCTACTCTAAATGAGCGCAATCATTTAATGATAGAAAGGAAGCATTGGATGCTTGGAAGAGTCAGGTTGCATGTGGGACTCCAATGGGGCAGCCCCGTCTGCGTTGGGGCGGAACAGCCAATTTTCTTTCGTGCAGAAGCGCCGTGACAAAAGGCAAAGACGAAAGACTGAGCGATGAACCAGCCTGCTTGATGATAAAAGGACAAAGACGACTATTAAATACCAATATGGTGTGTGATGTATTGTTGTTTCAATGGAAACGACGACGAAAAGGAAGCCTGCATGTCTCTGTACTATCAGGGACGATGAGTCTTCTACTCTTCTTGGGGCTGTTGTTGGGGTTGTGTTGCTTCTTGGGTGTGGAAGTAGTAGTACCAAGGGCTGCAGTAAAGGAAGGCGTTGACTCTCAACGTTCCCTACAACCTCCTGCCCTGCGTACACCATTGAGAATATCGGCGGATCGAATGGCTCGACGACGTTTGGGAAGCGGCGGGTACACGGAAGCGGAAAAGTACCATCCCGACAAAGACGACGTCTCCTGCTCCGACTACTTTGCCAATGAGACAATATGGAATGCGCCTGGGTCTGCTCCTCCGCCTTTCTTTAGTCCTGGAAGTTTTGGTGGTGCTGGTGGTGGCGCCAATGGTAATGAAGGGACTCGAGGAGGATGGTTCGGCGGAGGAGGTGGACGACCACCGCCTTGTCGATATTCCGAAAGCCCAGATGACGACAACGACACCAACAACAACAACGACGATCCCGTACCAGCTCCAATGCCATGGACACCACCGCCAACAGAGGATCCCAATCAAAACTCAAACAACCCCACGTCAGGTGTGACAGAAGAAGAAATAGTCAATTCGTCAGCTCCTACTGAACTCAACAACAACGAAGGCAACTACTCCAGCCTCTGTGCACCGTCTCCTGTTCCAACTCCTGTTCCAAGTCAAGGTCCAACTCCTCTTCCAACGAAGAGTCCAACGCAAAGTCCAACGACGCAAACACCTACCAGTCCACACGATGCCTAGCAACCACTACTACTACTCAACCCTACTACACGCCCGCGCATGACGAAGATTCATCGGATGATTCACCTCTCCAAAACACGGTCCGGTGGCGATTAGTATCGCGCGCCTCCCGATCACAAGAGAGGCCTTCCCAAAGGACAAGTTGCCAGGGCTGTGGCCAAACTCATGAATGTCACTTCCGCGCTACGCAGCCCCGAAATGCTCGACTTTTTTCTGGAACAGTACACGGACGAACACTCCAATTCCGCTGCTCTGGCACAACAGCTCCTCGAACGATTCCCCGCCGATGAAATTCCATACATACTTCCAAACGAACAGGAACTCTTCTTTTACTCCAAATACAGTCCCACATTTCCGAGACAAAAACCAGATCGTGCGTTCTTTTGGGAATTGGTCAACAAACCCGCGGATTCCATACCCATTAAACGAATTCCAGGAACGGACAAGGCGGCTAGCGAACAAAATTCGACCAACACCACCAGGCTAGCGCGTTGGTTTCTCCATCCGATTTACTACAAGGCGTACATGAGGAATGAAGAAGGAACGGTCATTCCCATTGAAGATCCAGAAACACTCTCACTCATTGAAGAACAAATGCGTCAGTGGATAGAATTCCATATTGACTTTACCAACGAACTATTTGAAAAACTACAACGAGAGCAAGCCGTTGGACTCGCCATGCCAGGAGACGAATTCGATTTGGTCTTTGAAGGCAATGAATGGGTACATCGACCGCATCATCCCAGCAGCGACGATGGTAACAGCGACTCGAGACCAAGCCTGGACGATAGTCCCGATGACAAGCCTCCGTGTAAACCTGGAAGCGTCGATTGCGAAGATGACTACTTTGAACCTCTCAACGCGGTCCCCCCAGGAACCTACACGGAACCATTGATTGTACAGACGGATGAAACAGCCACACGAACCGTGAAAGAAACGACTGGGTTGATTGTATTGTGCTCCACCATTGGATGCACCCTACTGTGGTCGCTGGTTGCCATGGTGTATCGACGTCGACGGTTCGAACAAGAAAATTGGGGTGCCAACGTTGGTACCGAGCATGCTTTGCAAGAGCTCCTCAGTGTTGGATGGAAACTGCAGGATCAACACGAGACGGGACAAGAGCCACGACAGGTGTTGGTGATCTATGACAAGACGGAACATGCAATGGGATATCGTGATGAAGACTCGCTATTGATGGGTGGCATGGCTCCGCCGCTGTTTCCTGGGATTACAGACTGATGACTATTTGATTGAATTGGTTTGATCATGCATTCTTTGATCCCTGGCCAACTCGTTCGTTATGGACTCTCCTCAATCACTCGGGATCCAGCCCAGAGTATGCTGCAGCTGGTTAGGCACCCACCCAAGTGGATCACGTTGGCAAACGAACAAGAGGATCTTGACAACGAGGATGCTTTCTTGTGGGGCATGAGTGAACAGCTGGATCTGGGAAGCAAAATCAAAATCGATGCCCTTGCCGGGAACTGCGTTGGCAACTTAGTTATTCTATTACTAGCTAGCAAGTAGAACATCTCCATTTGTTTGATTTCAGCACGGTTTGCTTTGTTGTTGCGTGGACAGGTATTGCAACGATGGCAGACCTGCAGGCATGCTGAGTTGATTGGAGCCAAGTACTACAGCCTGAAAGAGACAACAGAGAGGAAACAACACGAGAGAAACGGGAATGCCAAGGGCAAGTTAGTTCAAGGTGAACAACAACACAACTGTGAACTGTGGTCTAGCTAGCATGGGTTGGGGGAAATCTGGGCTCGCATGGATACCGGTGCTTAGGTTGCAGTCATCTCGTGCCCCTTGTGGCAATCTATCTGCCATGCAGGACTATTCCCCCCTGATGGAGGATCGGTATACCATTGGGTTGCCTCGGTTGAAGGGGGTTAGCATAAACATGGAGCGACCGTCACCGAATCATAGCAGTCATTTCGTTTGCAATCACGTCCATCGCCTCTCCAAATACGATCTGCAGGCACACCACAACTCATAATAAGTCAATCAAATACTAGTAGCCAAGTCTTAATTAGTGTGCCGCTAGTGTTCATTAGTGCTCGTTTCTCATGCAACATATACTCCACCTATCTTCAATAACCTCAACAATTCAACCTCAACCACTCCACCTCACGTTTCAAGCAATCTCAAGAGTTGCCGCCTTTGATGGGTGAAAGAAGTCTTCTCCTCAGGAAGTTACAACTCGATTGGCACCTTACTGCTTCAGAGGGACCACTTTCTTCGGATCCGCAGCTACTACAGTTTTCTCCGCAGCCCCAGGAGGTGGCGTAGTAAGGTCAATCTTATATTCTTCCGCCAGATTCTTGAGGTTCTGCATCACGTTGCTGGACTCGATGATTTCATTGTGATCAGTGATCTTGTCCGTATCCATTCGAATCATGCGAAGCAGGAGAGGCAGAAGATCCTTCCAGGCATTGTCCACAACCTGCTCGATGAGTTCGACCAAGCGAGTTGCATGAGCCTCGTAGCTGTCCCTGGCCAGGGACAGCTTTTCTTCATTGCGCTTGAGACGCTCCACATCTTTGGGACTAGGAGTCTTCTCCTTCGCCACGGCGGCCTCGTGGCCCTTGCTCAAGGACTCTGTCTTCTTCTCGTAGTGGCTGAGATCCTGCTTCATTTCTTTGGCTTGCTTACAGCTAGCTTCGACACGGGTCTTGATTACAAGCTCCCACTCACGAACGTACTCAATGACCTCTCGTTGGTACTTGTCCGAGTAGATATTGTCGAGCTTTCCCAGTGCCACTTGCACATTCGCTGGATTGTTTTCAGCGTTCTCGATGGGACTCTTTTCGATCCACTTTGCCAACTCCGTTGTCACCTGTTAGGTATTGCAAGAGCAAAAGTGTCAGCAAAGCAATGGGAGAGTACCGTACTCCAAGTGGCTAGAAACCAAACTGCCTTACATCTCCTTGAGTCTTTTGGAGTTTTTGGAGTTGTGCATGATGGTTCTTCAGGACGGTTACGAGGGGCTTGAATTGCTTGGTGAATTCATCAAACTTTGCATTGAACTCTTCAAGCTCTGCACTTCTGTTCTTCTTCTCGTCGGGAGCTTCTCCGGTCGTGTTCTTGGAGAGACGATCACCGATTCTGGTCTTTCCCATGGTTGATTTCTGTTTTGATTTTTTAGTTGCTGAGTTGTTTGCTGAGTTGCCTGCTGAGCTCTTTCTTTTGGGGGTATTGCTTTTTGCCTTGGTGGATTGTGATACATGTAACCCATCAGAGGAGGCGAGGATCTGGTTTCACGGAAGCTTGGGAGATGTTCCGGATGCCCATCCTGACACCATCAGGAACCTTCGAGCCGAAGCTTGGGAAGTGTGGAACTGAACTGGCTGACGCAGCTCGTCAGAAAGTGTGACCTCACAGCCAGTGCTTGCTAGCTAGAGCTAGTAGCTAGCTAGCTAGTATGCATTGCATTGCTCCCTTCCGCGAAACAAAGAGATGCCAGCCCTTGCTACCGTACTAGCTAATAGTACTGTAGCCGCTTACCAGCCAGCAAAAAGCTTGCAAGTGGCGAGGTCTCTGTGGTGGGACTGAGAGCCACGGTACGGTACTACTAGCTAGTAGTACGGTACCGGAAGCCACTTCGCGAAGGAATGGTCGCAGGAAGCGTTCGATCGTTCTCCTTCTTTGATTTGTTTCGCATGACTGAAATTTGAGAATTATCCCCAGTCCTAAACAGGGGTTGTCATTTTTTCGTGCCGGTACAGTATGATTGAGCCTGCTCCTTGGATTTCTTCGCCAGATGCCTGCAAGTTGGCATGGAGGAAAAGGACATGGCAAGGTTTGGAATAGAGTCGTAATACTAAATGCACATTCTGAACTATCACGACAATGACAAGTTTCTGGCAATCTCTAAAGACGTTCATTCGAGTTCTGAGCTACATTGTGCTTCTTGTTCCTGGGCTTACGTTGCTGAGGTTGGTCCAGGACGGTAGTCTGCGGAATCCAGTCGAGGCCGGATGTACCGTCGAGGCCAAAGAGCTGCAGAACGCTCACGGATCGGAGACAATCAGTGCAAACCAAACGTTAAAGAACCTATCACACGTGCCAGTTCATCAGGAATTACCAATGCCTCCTCGCCTCCGATTCTTTGATTTGCAAGATGCAATCCTAAATCTTTCCCAACTACCCGACGAGCTGGATCCCAGAAAAGGACAAGGAAACCTCCACAATGCCTTTCAAAGAGCGACAGTGGTCAAGGAAGCTTCTTGGTTGCCCAAACGCCGCCTGTGTCGTGATTCTTGCTGCGTCGAGACTGTGGCGATATCCCTGGAACAAGATGAACGACAATTCATGCATGACAAGGCGGGATTGGATTTGGCAGACCTCATGATGCCAGCTGCCAAACAACCACCCAACGAAGTCTTCGCCGTACCTCTTCAAGAAGAAATGCTACCCTGTTTGGTTCCTGGAACCATCATAACAGTGGAAAATCACCGCTGGAATAATCGCCAATTCTGGCAACAGATTCGACCTAACATTCACGTTCCTTACGTGCTCATGACGACAGGCTCAGACGACGACAGTCCCAGTAAGGCATCTCCCAGTGAATACATTACCGATCCCCTCATGATCAAATGGTACGGTTCCAATCCATTGTATCATCAGAATCGAATCTTTCAGGACCATCTGCACAGCGACAACAACAAATTTCAAACCTTTAACTTGGGCCTCTCTCATCGGTTTGCTCAAGAAAAGTATCTGAGACCGTATCTGAAACTGACCAACTATACCAATCCCTTTTTGAACAAAGATCGATGGAATCTGACGAACTCTACGTTTGATTACGACAAGGATGTCTTTGTCCACTTTGGCTTGCGGAGGCAACATCGACAGGAACTGTGGCAGCGACTGTGCCCGAACACCACAGAGGGTGGTGGAAGGGCTTCATGTAACCAGGAAACCAACGGGCTCCCTACCCCTCAAATCTATGCTGACATGAGTCGATATCGCTTTGCTGTGAGCCCTACAGGAGCGGGCTATGACTGTTACCGGACTTACGAAACGCTTCTATTGGGTGTCATCCCCATTATTGAAGAGCGACCTGGTGCCAGCCAGGACCTCTTTGCGGGGTTGCCCGTCGTTCACATGCCAGATTTGAACCAAGCAACCAAAGACGATATTGCCGCTGCAATTCAAAACTACGTTGCCAGTGACGAGTTTCAGAAGGCTTCCTTCCAAGACGGATGGGCGCGTCTCTTTTTCAAAGAGAAACGACGCCAACTGTTGCGAGATACCGGCCGACAAAAGGACATTCTTCTGGATGACAAGGGTAAAGAGTATTATCAAGCCTACAAGTACACCGTGGTGGAGGATGACGAGATTGTGGATTGTTGGAGCAACAAAAATTGCGTGCTACACAAAAGAAAGGACGGTGCCAGCGACTTTGTCGACGTGATGGATTGGATCACAAAGTGGGGGAAATAGCAGGGAATGCTACTCGTTTGCGTCGCAGGTGGCTCTCTGAAACACGCGGGCTACTTATCCAATGGGTGACCTCGCTCTGCCATTCATCGAGTTTTGCCAAGATAACGGTGCAGTCATTCGCTGCTTCCAGAGACTCTGGGACGCCACTAAAACTTGTCTTTGGTTTATGAAAGAGGGATTTTAAAATATGTTTTAATAAAAGGATTCATTCATTCGATTTGATGCTTGGGCCGGCGGGAATCGGAACTGCGAATGCACAGAACGCTTCGACGTCGATGCTAACATATACATTATGCGGTAGTTACCCCGGCCGTACACGGTACTCTTGTTTCATACGGTATCAGCATTGATCTTCGGTACGAACGTTTTTTGTTGGATAACAGCCAGATAGCGTCAATGGTGGCCCTTGTTTACGGAACAAAGCTATACAATTCACATATATGAGGAGCCATACATGTGCTTGGCTAATCCTCGTTTGTGTTTCGCCTCTTCTTAGTCTCGTTGTTTGTTTGCGGAAGCAGCAGTCCATCTTCGTGGTCCTCGTGGGCTCATGCCGGCATTCTATGTTCGGATTTTGGGGAACGTTCGTGCACGATCGAGAAGGCAACGGTGAGACCATGCAATGCAACGCAACGCAACACAACAAAACTGCATTCTCTTTGTTCGTTCGTGCGTACCTCCCCAATGATATTATGATGATGTCCATGAGCCTTGTTGTAGATCCAAAATCGTGTTGGATGCGGCTCCATGAAGGGCGGTGGAACTGTCGAATTCGCAGTATCGTCGCTTTCATCGACGACTTCCATGGGGATCCGTCGCACATGAATCATATCGACGCCATTATTTCGATCCAAACAAACCGTCTCTTCGTCATCATCGTGAGAATGTCGACCATGGATGATGCGATTCCAAAGCGAAAAGTGAAGACGACCGTTGGTAGATGGCATTGTTGTTGCTTGTCGAATAGATTGATAGATAGATTCGTTTATGTATTCGTTGTCGAGAAAAGTGTGGATTGTGCTGGTTCACTTCGTAGATCTATCTTTCCGCTTTCGGAAGGTTGAAGCGTTCTATTTTATGAGCCAATTTTTCGCCAACAGTCGACTGTCTCTGCATTGGACTTCGATTTAGATCCATGGAACGTGAAAGTCCTTCTCTTTTTGGCATTCCCTATGGTTGGGTCCCGCAAGCTAGCAGATGCGGAAGGGTGTGGCGGGTGCGCGTTGGAATAGAATGGAAGCAGCCAAAAACTTGCTTCCGAGCTCTGGATCCTTCTTCGTCTCTGCTGCTGACCACGCAGCCATTCGATCTTTGATCCTTGGTGTTTTGGCGGATACCCTTGCTACCCTTCCCTCCACTTCCACACCTTCCATAGCTGGCTAGACAGATACCGTAATAGATCCCCACCATGCCTCGCTCTTCCTCTCGTCGTCGCGGCAAACGCAGCAAGCGAGATGATGACGAAGATAACGAACAAGAAGAAGACAACGATAACAATGTTGCTGCCGAGGTCAATCCAGGTGGCAATCGTCAACTTCCCTCCGCTGTCCGAGCCCGCCAACGTGCCATTGCCGAGCGAGAAGCCGCTCGATTGGCCCGTCCCGAACGCCGTGCGACTTCGACGTTGGGACATGCCGATCGCAAGAAATCCGCCGTGACATCGACACCCTTTGGAATTTTGGCCAGCTCCAATGCTTCGGCGGGAGCAGAAGAAGAGAGCACTGGTTGGTGTGGTCCCTTTACCGTGGCGCGTCAAATGATTGCGGCCCGCGAAGATATCAAGCGACAACGAGAGGCCGACATGGAAGATACGGCTGCTGCTGGTACCGATGAGAATCATCCGCTGGATCAAGCCATGCAAGAATTAGAAGAAGAAAAACGAAAACGAGCTCATCCCTCTTTGCAATGGAAATCCCGTGTGGTCACTCCCGATGCTGCAGCAGCTACTACCAATAAAAAGAAGAAACAACGCATTCAATTACCAACTCAAAGTCAAAACAAGAACAAAATTCCCTCACTCTACCAATTGTGTGTCGATTTTGTCGTGACCAATTTTGATCACGTCGAAGCTTTGGGCAATGTGGGTCACGACATTCGCACGTCGATTGCCCATTCGTTGGCGTCGCAGAATCGACTCGATGCCACCGCCTTGGCGGCCCTCACCGAAGACCATTTGGAAGCATTGGAATTGGTCGATTGTGCCGATATTCCACAGGACGCTCTCGTCGACTGCATTCAAAACAAAGCGTCCCAGTCGCTCCGGTATTTGCAATTGGATCAAGCCGGACGCTGTTTTGGAAAACAGACGGTGGAGACCTTGATTGGCAACAAAAAGAAAGGCAGTGTCCCACTCTTTGCCCTCAGCATTGGAGGAGCCTACTTGTTGAAAGATGACGATGCGGCTCGACTCATTGCCGCCCTGTCCTCCACACTCCAATCCTTGGCATGGAAGGCATGCCCCTTGTTGGGCATGGAATTTTGCAAAAGCATTCCCGCCAATTTTGGTGGTGCAACAACCCAACAAACGACATTGCTGGAATTCTCGCTGGAAGACATAACCTTGTCGCGAGAATCTTGGGAAGCACTGATTATTCAAAACGACAGTGATGGAACCGATGGCTACAAATGGCAACGCAATCTCAAGAGTCTGACACTCAAACGCGTCACCAATCTACAAGACGACCTCGTCGTCTCACTCCTCCAAGGAGCACCCAATCTGGAACATGTCGATTTGAGTGACAATTATGATTTGACCGATGCCACCCTCGCGGCGTTGCGCCCTTCTTCCGGTTCTTGTTTGAGATCTCTTCACTTGTACCATCTCCGAAAACTCACATCCGTGGGATTGGAGACGCTCTTTACGCCGGGATTGGAGGGAATGGGGCCACCGCCACAGCTCAAAGTACTCAATCTAAGTCATGCCAGTGTCGATGCCGTCACGGATAACGTCATGGAGTTGGTCTTGCAGAGTGCTTCCATGAAGACACACACGACAACAACAGCCGTGGATGCAGGCTTGTCGCTCCTCGGTGGAATGGTTCGTTTGGAATTGCAGGGGGCGGCCATTACCGACACGACGTTGGAACGGCTTGTGGCAACCAGCGCCAAGACGCTCGAGTATCTTCAGGTACGTTATGGCACGCAATTAATACGAAGCGAAAATGGATTGTTCGGGCCTTGACACATACTCACTTTCGTGGCGCATCAGGTTTCCTTTTGCCCTCACATTACCGATCAAGGGCTTGGGTATCTGGTGGATTCGCTCGGAAATCAGCTCGAAGAAGTGCAGATTTGGGGATGTGCTCAAATCACGGAAAAGTTTTGGAACGGCCATGCCCGGGCGGTGTTGGTGGAGGGTGACAAACCAGGCGGCACCAGTTTTGCAGCAGTAGTGCCGCTGCAAATCACGGGAGCATGGATGAAAAAGAGTGGTATTGCCTCGATTCGTTCCTGAAGGAGGCATGGGACGGAAAATACATGACTTTGTAGCACCTTGCGTCGATGCAGGTGGTAGACGGGTAAGGAAAGAGTGGATCGTTGGTTGCTGCTCGCATTATACCGGTAGGGTAAACAGGCTGTTCTGCAAAGAGCTACGCCAGTACCGTACTACGTAAGGGGTAATCTTCATCTTGATGCATCGGAAAGCTCTGTCTTTCTTCGTCGTCTACCGAAGAAGAAAAGGAAAGTGATTGCATGAGCTGGAACTTCAGATTCGATGTGCAAATTCAAACTTACTTGCGAAACAAACCAATACGAAGCCGGACCCTGAGGCCAAGCAGTTTCAGAACCAGTGGCTTTCCCATACTAAGAACACCGTGGCGCACTCAGGGTTCCATGCCCAATGTATCTAGAGGTTAGAGCACGGTAGTTCCTAGTGATTCCACGCTTGTTCTTTCTGTACACTGAATACTCCAGGTAGTTGAAGATAACCACAGTATCCAGGTGTTTCTTTTGCTTGCAACTGCAAGACCAGCCATTTTCATGGGCAATATTGCACAATCTCCAAACAATGGCAATTTCCAGCAGCTGCTGCTTGTGTATGCTTTCCGTGGGCATACTTGCGGCAATCAAAATGAAACCCCCACCGCCCTTCGTTTTGTGCAAGCTTGTACCAGTCTCCTCTTTATTAGCGGTACCGGTAGCTGGCCTCCGGTGTAGTCTCCGGAGTGTCGATTTGGAAGCCGTCGAAGGTCGAACGACGTTCCCTCCCGTTCGCCATGGTGTTGATGTGGCTCTTTTGTTGTTGCGTGTCCATGTAGCTAAAAAGGCGAAAGTCATGACTTCGTCGCCTATTGACCCAATCCAATATGGGTTCAACAAAACATATACCATATTTAGAGTGCTACATCAGGGTCAGCCTACCGGTGTCTTTCTTTTCCCGGTCAAGGCCAGCTAGCCAGGGTGCAATTCTCTCAACTGTGCATTTGATTGTGATGTTAGTTGAGATTATAAACTAGTAAAAATGACGGCGCGTCCCTTCCTCCTTGTGTGCATACTGCTGGTCAGGCAAATCATAAACCAAACCAATCCAAGGAGCCCTACCCGTTTGCGGTATGAATCGAATCTCCTCTGGGAGCTCTCCTGACACTTGTGAATTGTCGTTCTTCTTCTTTGCAGAATTACTTGGTATCGCAACCACAGTGTTTCATACAGCGCTCACGCGCAACAACACTGCAATCCACGCAGGTTATAAGCTTTTTGCAGGAGTGGTGGCCACAGAAACCGTCACCGCAAAGGTCACAGGAAGTGGATTGGTACACATCATTTGGTACACATTCTTTGCAAGTAAACTCATCGCAAGCGACCCTGCCGGAACAGCAATCTTCGCAATGAATTTTCTCGCATCGATTGCACCAATACCCAAGGAGGTTTTCATCTACTGTACACAAGTCTCACATCCGATAAACTGACCGCAACCGGAGCAGTTGACAAGCTCTCTGCACGTGGCGCAGAAGCGGTCCTCACAATGGGGACAGGAAATGAGTGGTTCACAATACTTGCAAACGCACACAAAGCAGTCGTAATTCTTGCAACGTGCCATCACATCGCGATCCTTTTTGATGCAGTCGTGCCGCATCCATCCTTGTCGCATGAATACCGAGAGTCAGAGTCCCGGCCCACAGATTTGTCGCAAAAGTCGCAAAGAAAATCAGCATACTCAAGATGGACACACAATCCACACTCAATCTTTTTCTGCTTTTTCTTTGGTTCACTGCTGGCAGCCGTCGTCATTGCTGTCTTCTTTCTCACACCGGTAATCTTTTCGAAGCTCTTCTCGCTTCGCCTTTTGACTCCCCAGCTTGCTTCCATGCTCTTGGCAATAATAGTTTGTCAACTGAAAATGACTGGAGAGTTGAGGGATTTTCATGCAACTCAAAACAGAACGACGGTCCAAAAAACTGAATACTTCTTCAGCCATCAAGAATCGAATCGCTCCTCCAAAGTTAGTTGTGAAGAGAGGTGTTGACCGAAAAGCTGTCAACAAAATAAATGCGCGCCAAAAAATCACCGAGACCTGTTCAAATACATGCAATAATAATATGGTTATTGTATAATGCTACGGTAAGCAAGCTAGTCTACATGTAATACTAGCAGCTAGTTTGCTTCAAAAATGAGCTGACGTCATTGCGAGCCGTGTCTTCGTCTCAAGATCTCGCACTCGAAAGAAAGATCTCGGAGGCCGTGATCAGACTAGGATACTGGTATACCCTCCCTCGCATTTTGTGGCCTTTTTGGTTTGGGAGGAAAGAGGATGGCTCCTTTTAGATCTTCGCTGCTCGCAATGCTCTTCTTGTTGGCAGCATTGGAGTCTTCCTTTTTTGTAAAATTGACGGCAGGTTTCTCCACTCTGGCCTCCAGCAAAAGAAAGTTCTCTGCCAAAATGTCGTCCACCTGTCTCTCCTCCACTTCGGTATCATACATGGAAGCCCTCTCTTTGGCAGCCTCGGAAGGTTTGGGCCGGCCCGTTGTACTGGAAAGCACAGCCGGAGGAGGCTACAGTGGTGGGGGAGGTGCCAGCACCTCGGCGGTTCTGGATAAGGAGACGGGTGACAAGTACTTTGTCAAGGCCGCCTCGGGTGAATACGACATGCTCAAGGCAGAATACCTGGGAGTCAAAGCCATGGCCGAAACAAGTACCATTCAAGTGCCCACACCGATTGCCTTTGGACAGCATGAACGGCGTGCCTTTGTCATCTTTGAATATCTCAGCTTTTGTGGAGGCGGGTCCCAATTCGAACTCGGAGTCCAGCTGGCAAAGGTACGCGGTACCGAAATGAAAAGTGGTTTGCATGCATTTCCTGCCATGCTCATTTTCATCATCATTGCTTGTTGCCTTCCTTTCTTTTCTTGTAGATGCACCGGTCGACCAGCGACAAGAGATTTGGATTCGAAGTGGACAATACAATTGGCGCAACGCCACAACCCAATCTACCGTGGATGGATGACTGGGCCGACTTTTGGGATACCCATCGATTGGGCCACATGCTCAAGTTGACTGGAAATGCCGGGCTCGGTGATGACAAAGTAAAAGAGTTGCGACACAAGACCCGAGAACTACTCTCTCACAAACCGGCGCCAAGTTTGATTCATGGAGATCTGTGGGGTGGTACGTACTTACATGTAGCAGTATGTTCGTCCCATTTCTCTCTCGTTCTCCAAAACAACTACCCGCTCATTCCTTCGTTCGACCTTATCACTTGCGTTGCAATTATTTATGTTCTAGGCAACAAGGGTTTCTGCAAAAAGGAAGATGGCAAAGTGGTACCCGTTATTTTTGACCCGGCGACGTACTACGGAGATAGGGAAGCTGATGTGGCCATGACGGATCTATTTGGTGGCTTTGGTAAAGACTTCTATGACGGATACAACTCAGAGTGGCCCTTGCCAGAGGTGAATAGTTCATTTTTGCCTTGACCTGATTCTCATGACTCGACTCAGTCGGTGCTCACTAACCTGCTTTTCGCTTTTGGCATCTTTGGCTGGAATGAAGGGTCATGAGAAAAGGGTAGAAGTCTACAACCTTTATCACATTCTTAATCACGATGTGCTGTTCGGGGGAATGTATATCAACCAAGCCCGGGGTATGATTGACAGGATTCTACGACCATGAGCTCAGCGGGGGGTGTCGAAAACTCGTAGACAAAGCCAAGTGAATATTTATGTCTTGAATTCACCTCTATCTAGCCAGCTAATTGTTTACTGGACAAAACCAAAGTTTAGCACAAGGGAATAAACTAGAATGCATGCTTGTACCGTAGTGCTCGTAGCTGTTTCACAAGTTGTCAAATAAGTTGAGAGCGCGTGCGGGCTAGTCAATCCTTCGTCCTAAATTGATTGAGCATTGCAGGTTACAAGAGCATCTGAATGTCAACAAGTTTGGCAGAAGCTGCCATGCATGACACCGCTGGCAGGAACGCAGCTGATGTCCCTTCCAAGTTTTGCCGCAAGTTTGAAACTATCTTGATAGTCTGTTGTCCATCCACTGAGATGGATAAAGACCCATTGTCTGGATTGCCCTTGGATAAATCCAGAGACATGGTAACATGTGATCTGTCTCCAAATTTGGCCACGTCACCTAGCCGCACACCACCACCATCATCAGACCAATTACATCCCCAGAAGCCAAGAACACCCCAACAATCTCTCTGCTTTCCACAAAACTTACTCTGATGCAAATTGTGTGTAGATTTTGCAACGCCAAGCCAAACGCAAACACGAGGGTTGTTCGAGGTGGAATCTGTGTCAACAGTCCATTGGTATTTTCCATCCAATCCAAAACCAGATCCCTCCAGTACATCACTAATCCAACGACCATGATTTTCAGAACTGAGTATTTTGGATTTGGAATTCTTCCAATCCAGTGAGCAAAACTTAATGGAGGGTTTGTGAAAAGAGATGTTGTGCTCATGCTTGGCTCGCACTGCTTGCTTTTGGAAGGCATCAAACAGTTGGTCGTTGGTCACCAAGCCTGAAGAGGCTACCAGTGTGGACAAATCATCAGGGTCCACGAATTCAAGTTCCACATAGTCTTGAACCAAGACCTTGGCAGTATTTTGGCGGTCTTCTTTGGTCTCGCCGGGATTTGATGGCTCACTCTTTGACCACAAGGAGAGTAAATTGAATGCAGTTGTTGCATCAAGCTTCAGGTCGTTGTCCACAAGTATTCTGATAGCAAAGCCGCATGTATCCCACCCAGAACGAGATGATTCCACGACCTTGTCCTGTTAACAACGCAAATATGCCAAGCTTCTTTCTTCAAATCCTCCGAAATCACGGGGCCCTCTTGTTTAAAGGCTGCCAGGATCGCAACAGAGAAAGATGGTTCAAGTTTCAAAAGGTTCCCAAGGCTTTGCTCTGCTTTGTGGCAAAGGCCGGGCAGCCCGACATACATTGCTGCCTCTGTCAACGAAACAAGTGTTGTGAATTCTTCTATGAGATCAGAAGACACTTCGGGACAATGTTTAGTATCCGCCGTCAAGTCATATTGGATCAAAGCATCGGCTGTGTCTGTATGGACATATTGCACAATTGCCTTCAAGACCTTGCCGGAAAATCCAATCGGGACCACACTGTTGCTGGCCTCCTGAAATCCACCCTTCTTGAACATTGTCTTGAAGTAGGCACTACGAACTGATAAAGCAGTGCGATTTGCAGGAACAAGCACTCCGTCTGCGCCTTTGAGAAGTCACAAAACTCATCATCAGCCAACATGGCAAAGGCTTGTGATAGTGGGACCTCCATAATCTGTTCTGGAGTGCATGCAGTAGGTTCTGTGGTGGACATTGGCAACATCTATGGTCCCTCCCACAAACAATGTCAATCTCGCATCGGTTATCGGTTTCCCACTTCCCACCACGAACGCAATGGCCTCTAATTATCCAACCCTCCAATTATCCAACTCCTCCAATTATTCGACCCTCTAATTATTCAACCCTCTAATTATGACACACTCTAATTATCCACCCATCTAATGATCCATCCCTCTAATAATAATTTTAAAATTATCCAACGCTCTTTTTCGCGCGATCACAATCAGCTCTCCCTTTCGGCCCAATGCCTGCCGCAACGTTTTTACGTACAGTACGGTACGGTAGAGTCATCGGATTTTGCGCTGGAAAGCTCTTGTCTTCATCACTTTTACTCCAATCAATCTATGGTACAGTACCGGTACAATCGGATGTATCAAGATGAATGACAGGGTGTTTCTCATCCTGGTTCGGTTCCTGTCCATCATGGCCTTTGGCACGTCGATCTTTGGCTGTGTCTTTGCCATGCACAATATCGAAATCAACGAGTATCCATGGGTATCCAATTTGTTTGATATCAGCTGCGAGGACCTTTCTGGAGAGAGTCGAGAATACTGCGAAGCCTCCTACAACGAACGCCACTACACACTGTGGCGCTCCTTTGGGAACTTTTTCTCCTGGAGAGATTGGGATGGCGGTGTCCTGTGTGGCACAGAACACGGTCTGCAATTGCCCGATTCCCTACCCCCCGAGGTGGCCCACTTGATTGACGGCAACATTGGACAATGCAGCAAAGCCATGGCTAATGTGGCCGTAGCATTTGCCGTCATGACATGTGGCATGACGGCCTTTCTCACAATCTACATTACTGTACTGGCGCATGATAATGATGCTCTGCTCAAAATGGTACTCTTTGGGGCCATGGCCACTTCGGCCACGGTGATTGCCGTTTATTGCTTGGAAATTGATCCCCTTCGACTCAAGCCGACCTTTTGTGACAGTCAGACGCTCTTTGAACACTGTAAACAGAGCATGGGAGAAGGATTTTGGTTCCAGGTGGTCACGCTCATCATGACATCCGTGTCACTCATGCTGACATTTGCCTGGTCCTGGCTGGTCCCACCCCAAGTGGGGATTGATCGAAGAGAAACACAGCCACATCATGATGGTCCAATTTACTTGACACTTCACTTTTACGTCCAGTTGGTGCGATTCGCCGAACTGGCCATTTTGATCGTTGGCATTGTTTCTACATTTACCGTCGTGAGCACCACCATTCCGGAAATCACACATAATTCAACCAATCAGACTGGCCTATTGAGCCATGCATTTGCGGGACAGGGAGGAGAGATGGAAACACAAATCAATTTGTGGCAAGGCCTCTTTTGTCATCCCTTTGGGGCACGGTTATTCCTGTGGTCCGTGGTTCTGGAGGAAGCAGACCACCAAGATGCCGACTCTGAGCCAGAAACATTTGGGCACTGCGACTTTAAAGATCTATTTGAAGTCCAAATGGGCATGATCATGGCGGCCGTTTCCGCCATTACCGCCATGGCCTTTCAGAAGGATGCCAAATCCATGCCCCTGGCCTACATGATTGGATTCATCATGCACTTCATGTCCATGGTCAAGCTGACATGGGCCATTACCGCGTTCATGTTGCACGTCTTTCCAGGGCGGGACCACATTGAGCCATCCTACTGCTCTCGCTGGATTGACTTTGTGCCACCTGGAGGATCTTGCGAGATGGAAGTGGGCGTGGGAATCTATCTTTCGGGCGGCGCCTTGGCGGCCGTCGCCATTAGTTTTGTGGGAGAAGTAGCCATGCAACAAAGTTCCGAGTATGGTGTGGGGACAGCATTCCGAACATTGATGGGCCGTGTGCGGCAAGGAAGATTCGCCGATCTGGGTAAGTGCCAATTTGACTGGAAATGATATTGCTTGTTAAAGTGATGATGCGCCATCTGACATGATTGGTCCAATCAGGCAAGGCTGCGAGTGAGCGTTCCCTGGCTGTTGGTGATGTGGGAAGCACTCAGGATGATATGGACGAACAGGTTGACAATTCAAAGCAAGTGAAAAACAGCACCTACAAGTTAGGGAGTCAACAACAATATCAGTTTGGACCTGGTGACCAGAGTTATGAGGATGACCAATTGGGTGAAGCGCCTCCAATTTCGTGGAGCGTGATTCTCGTCTTTGTAATGATAGTCGTCGTGGTTGTGATGATGGTTGTGTTGGTGTCAGTGGTGGTGTACGAAATGGCCCCAACCTCTAGCCCGTCGTAGACAATTATGCTTTGGTCGGAAAGGAGCCAATCTTGGGGAGCTGCCGCTTACCATTGGTCTCAAGTCTCAAGAGCTGCGACTTTTTGTGTCAGACGACCTTGCCCCCGAGGAGGCGTTGGTTTCTGACATCAAGCTACCGATGCAAGGAGACCTTCGACAAAATGGTCAACCAAGCATTACGACACTCGGCTAGCACTCGGATAGCACTCGGCTGGCTAGTTAAGTCGGCCACAACCACAGTCTATCGGGCTTGTGTCGAAGTTTTTGACGCAACAAGACATAGTGCTTCCGACAGCGCAATAGTGAGGAACTCGGCAACTGCGTAGAGAGTGGCCGGAACGAGTGCACCAACTAAACCACAACTAGTCCGAGCACAATTCTCTAGCTTTAAACAGGTAGTTAACTTTCAGACAGGCGACCACTCCACTCTCACCGTCAATCCTTGAATTTCTCTTACTAGTCTTGCAGTTCGGCTGCCTTTAGACTCCATTCTGTAGCCATCTTCATTTTGTTGTCCTGCATGGCGCCTTCTGCAGCCTCCTGATAATAAGTGGACGCCGATTCCTTGTCACCCGCTTCTACTTTGAGTTCTGCCAACTCCGCTGCCAATTCATACGTCTCTATTGGAATATCATCATCTTGATCTTCCGAAGTCCCACCAAAGGCTTCTTCGTCACTCAATGGTCCTCCAACTGTCGTTTGGGTGGCGGTTGGTGGGATCAACATTCGGACGTGATCTCTTGGCAGTGCTTCGGAGGAACCATCGTCGTCGTACTGTACAGTGATCATTACGTGCGTTTCACCATCCTTCTCGGTTGCATTTACCTCCAATACGGTTCCAGGGTAATACGTGCCTTCCATAAAGTAATCGCCCTGCACACGGTCTCCCACATGCAACATATTGCCCGTGCCCGCAACATTACCACTCCGAGCCAGAGACTCTTTGGCTTTGTCAGCCTCCGCTTGCTGTTTTTCCATGAGCTCAAACAACTTGAGCGTATCTTGCGCAACTGTCATCATTTCCGTGAGACTGCCGGTTTTGTCCTTGTTGTTGTCTTTTTTTGCGTCCACTTCACCTTCGTCTTCATCAATGGTCAAGAATTCATCCGCATGGCGTTCATCCTGGAGAATCTGGAAGAGCAAGCACCCCGCCGCGACGCGTGGAGCCATGGGAACTAGCAACAATCCGGACCCTTCCTCATCACTGTTTTCGGATTCATTGACTCCCATGGAATCCATGGCACGTCGCAACAACTCCTTGGCCGCTTCAAAATCCAATGGAACGAGCGGATTGTCAATCAGTTCCGACACATGCGTTCCCAATCCCGCATGTACGCGTCCCAGTGCCAAACAGGCGGGTGCATTTTGCAGAGATGCAGCATGCGAGAGATGAAATAGCACCGAGAATGAATCGTGGGGTGGTTTGTCGGTGCTGTTTGGATCACTGCCGTTGCTGCTGTTACTATTTTTTCCAATTTCCACATCCGGCACCACTTCTGGGAAGCGGCCCATTCCATGGAGAATCTTTCACAATCAATAATAGACGCAGAGTAATAGGTAAGTCATCATGTCATAAGCACCTGTTCCAATTCAATCAAAACCGTGCCACTATACGTCTATACTATACGTACCGCCAATTGATAATGCACCTTTCCCAAATTGAACAATGTTTGATTGGACAGAACCATGGGTGGAGAAATGGTTCCAATCAGAGTACTCTTGTGTCGAATTTGCTTTTTGGTAGGACCTCCATTGGCCTCCTCTTCATCCTCATCAGGTTCGCCATTGTCTTTGAATTTTCGTGTCCGCAATTCTCCCGATTCGCGACGGTGATAATCGCGCACCAAATCAACTTGAAAATCTTGTCGCGCTCGCAACAAACATTGTTCCACTTCATCGACATCGGATTTGGTGCGACGTATTTTTTGGGGCGATACCGGTTTGGCCAACCGGAGCGATTTGCGAATGGACGCTCGGAGTTCGTTCCTCATGTTGGATCGTTTCTCGGTGCGCACGGAAGAATCTTCGAAATCGCATTCCTTTTCTTCGGGAATCATCATGTCGGCTGGTTGTTTGTTGTTGTTACTGTTGTTGCCATTGTTATTATTGTGAATGACGTGGAGTATGGAATTTTCCATGATTTGATCGGGTCGCATGAGGGATGCGCGTCGTCGCATGCGGTTCAAATCCAGTTTTTGGAAACTATTGATATTGTCTTGACTGTCATGTGACATAAAGGATAGTTCATCATTGGCGTCTACATCCGAGACGGTTTCTTCATCATCGTGGTATTTCGCTTGATGCTTGAGTTCATTTTTGGAAAGTGGGAAAATGGGGACCCCCATGGCGTCACTAATGCCACAATGTCGAAACGTTTTGAAAAAGAGCGCCATACCACGAGGCCCCAGATCTCCATCTCCAAATCGATAATCACTGGACAGCACTTGTGGATCTGTGTAGAGATCTCCCACTCCCTGAATATCGGCCACGAGTCGATTTCCATTGGACGCATAAAAGGAATGAGCACTAAAGACTTGCGGAGTGACACGTCGCAAATCCGTATCGACAAACCCCGAGTTGGTATTGTGTTTGACAAATCCAGCACCGTAGGAATCCTTGCCGGCAATGAATCGCTCCACGGCAAACCAGGGAGATCCGTCTCGATTGGGAAATTCAATAGCGTACGCACGCAAAAAGGTAATCTTGGAGGGTGGATCCGATTCGTTGAACCGCGCCGCCCATCGTTGCGCTTCGTATTGCAGCAAAATGTCATTTTGAATCGCCTGTTTGGCATTGGTGTCCACTTGGCCGTCCTTACTACAATACGCCTTGGCGACATAATTACTGGCGGTGGTCCAACCCGTCCGATGAAACCGATGATTCGAACTGGACAACGGCGGTGTCGCGCGTTTTTTCATGCGATAACAAAATCGCATCGCGCCGTGTGTAAACGGCGTCGATTCCATTTTCACAATGGTTTCGTCGGTCGACCATGTCTGCGTGTGTGGATCGTACAAGTGTCGAATGATGCGTTCGGCTGGAACGCCGGGAATGTTAAAGGACGACCACGGATCTTCTTCTTGGACTGCCTTGGCGGCTGCCTTGTGCAACAGTTCTGCCAATCGATGGCGGCGGGCTTCGCGGGCGGAGTCTTCTGATGATGATGACATGGTAACACTAGCTAGCTAGATAGATAGTGGACTATCTATCGATCAAAGCTTCCTGTTACGCTGGGTCGATGAAAAGCCCAAAAGGATGAGGAATCGAATCTTTGGAGAGATTCCTTTCCTTTGTTGTGGCTTGGTGTGCTGTGTGCTGGGCACATACATGTGGTTGAAGTGGTACCAGTACCGGTACCGGTACCGTTGCAGCCAAAGATACTTCTTGCTCTGGGATTCATTCCGCGTGGAACCTGGTTGGCACCATGAAAAGAGAAAAGCTGCAAAAAACTGTTTGATAAATATTGCTTCCAAAACCGCTCTGGGCTACAATAGATTTATCAATCAAGAGCCTTTAACAGGGCGTCCCCGTAGCCCGTACCGTAGCCTTTACGATAATGCCGAGACCTGCTTGAAAACGTGAGGCAGAATTTTTACACGGGAAAAGACAATCGATTGCCCCTGGTACCCTTGCAGGAATGTCTTCAGTAAATGTTCACTCAGCTTTGACCATTACTGCTGATCTCCTGATGTACTATTAAAATAATAGTATTAATAAAGTACCTGGTAGTCTACCTGGTAGAAAGGGCCCGAAATGGCGATTTACACGAAATTCCGATTTATACTTGTGTTTCGATTTTATATTTCGGTTTCGATTTTATTTTTTGGTTTTGATATTATATTTTGGTTTCGGCTTGATTTTAATATTTAATTACCATAGTAATTTGGTTTCGATTCTATATTTAGGTTTCGATTTTATATTTAGGTTTCGAATTGATCAATTTGGTTGGATTCATAAAATCGTAGCGTGATTTCCGGCCATTTCGTACTGAGTACTGAGGTCAAGGCCGAGGCTTCAGGTTTAAGTGTGATTCGATTCGAAGCCAAGATTAAAAATGCCCATAGCCCATACCAATAAACACTCGTAAACTCTATAAACTATGACTGAGGCTTTTTGTCTTACTGAGAGCTTACTGAGAGTTCTTGGAACTTGGAACAATTGGATATAGTTTCCACCAAGTACCTTGATTATAAGAATCATGACTGTTATTTTTAATAGTTTATAAAGTGGACGGAGGTACGCTCCTGTACCCACTGCTTTCCTTCAGGTTCAGAACTCAGAACTCAATCACACCTATAGCTACCGGTATGCTACGGTACAAATGACATTGTCTTAGACTGAACAGCCAGTTACATATGTAGTTGCCCTTCTCTACATTCAAAGCTTATGAGTAAATACATACATACAATGACACCGATAGATCACCTCCTGATCAGTCAGTAACAATATCTTGCTCCTTCTGCTTCTAAAAGATGCACTGTGAGACTGTCTCACCCTCTCTCCCTGACTACCGTAGTCACCCCTTAGTTGCCTGACGCTTACATACATACATCATCAAAAGTACTGCTGGTGGCAGAACTTTTTGCTATTTGGGCACCTGCTTTTCAGGTGGAACCAATCCTTATTAGATGTACATGTACCAGGTATGTCATACCTGTAGTAGACTAGACTACTGTTGCCTCTTGATATCTTGAGCTTATGATGATATCTATTTCCATTCTTCTGTGGTTTGCACCGTACCAGTAGTCTTAATTTCAAGGTACTTCCATGATCTTGTGTTGCTAAATGTCCCAATGGCCATAATCATCGGCAGCTGGCACGTCTGCTTTGCTTTTCACTGTGATCTGGAAGTGGGAGTACCCCTTTGGCCTTTTCGGCTTGGGGGCATGCTCCAGGTTCACCGACCACCCGCACCTGTGCACCTGTGACATCCCAGTCACATCCTGCTCTTCCCCGAGCAATCGCCCTCTATCTGTGCCACAAATCACAAATCCGTTTTTTATCCACTCATTGACAAACCATCTATCGATTGCCACTATTAATAAAATAGAATAGAATAGTTTAGTCAGAGTAAGGTTACGTCAACAACTACCACCATGAAGTTCTTTCCAATGGCACGCCGAACGGAGGAATTTGACGTCCCTCATGATCTGCAGCTCATCATGGACGACATTATGGAAACGGGCCAATTGCAGTCGCAACTTTGTCTGGATGTGGATGGGGACGGTTCGGTGGATGGCGGTGATAATGCTTCAGTCTGTTCCAACGGAACCTTTATGAGCCACCTGTCCGCCATTCGACCATTTCCCAAAATACGACAACGAATCGGCTTGGTCGTGTCCCTCCTCTTGTTGGTCGGAGCGGCCGCGGGTGCCACACTGATTGGCGTGGGTACTTCGTCTGCCCAGAAGGAACAACAGAAAGAGTTTGAACGTCTGGCAGTGGATGCCGCCAACCAAGTCGACGTGGCCTTGAAGGACTACCTGCAGACGGCACTGTGGGTACATCAGGCGTGTTTGCAACGAGATACCATGAATCATGTCGACTTTCGACATGTCTATCAATACGTTGCATCGACCGGGCTGTCGTTCCAATCGATTGGACTCGCACGAAAGGTCGTCTCCGAGACGGAACGAGCGTCCTTGGAAAATCAAACAAGGGCATTTCTAGCAGAGCAATATCCCGTGACTCCCTACAAGGGATTTGTCGGCAATCAGTTTGACCCAGCCAGTGGAGTGCGATCCATTGGGGTCCGAAGATGGCAAACTTTCTACTATCCTGCACACTTTTTGGAACCCTTGGAAGACCCCTTGAACAGGGCTGGACTCGACTTTGATCTGTACACATCCAACAAGCAACAATACGCTCTGGAAAAGGCCATTAGCACGTGGGAACCCGCCATGTCGGCCAGAATACAATTTGGGTCGGAGGGCAAAAGTTCTCATTACACTGTGACACTCTTGCATCCCGGTATCCCTCTTTCTTCTTCTTCTGATTACAACAACAACGACACATCTGTCCCCATGGACTTGAGCCTCATCACGTTGAAAGTTCATCATCTACTCTCCGATATACATGTGGGTAGTGACAAGGAAACTTCTGCCTACCTATTTGATTCCACCGACCTCCTAAGCGACGACGAACAACCACCCTTCCTGGGTGGTGCCAAGCACTGTCCTCACCAACCTCTCGTCGTGCATGACCATGCAGACGAAAATGCGCTCTTGCCAGAGACAGATATTGACAACTTACGACAACAATACAAACAAAACATTTACGAGACGAGGCTCTCCTTTGCCTCCAGAGAATGGACCTTTGTCTTTGTGGCAGATGATGGTGAATTCCATGATTCCACAGTCGGATTTATCTATGTTGGCGGTATCATGGTCTTTGTTGCCTGCGCGTGTCTGGCACTCTGGCTCTACACCAACCACAAGAAAGTATCCAAAATCACCCAAGTCCGGTCCAACGCGGAAACCGACAAGGCCAGGCTCAAGATTGACAATGCCCGAAAGGCGGCCAAGAGTGAACGAGAGTTTACAGACTTTTTGGCACACGAAGTAAGTAAACCTTGCTTGTATTGTTGTCGCCGTCATGTCGTGTTGCCATTCATGTATGTCATTGCAACTAACTCATTCAATTCGTTTTCTAAAGGTTCGGAACCCACTGGCTGCCTGTATCTCCGCTTGCAGTTTTGTCTCTGCCACCGTGAACGAGGCCGAGCCACTTGTGACGGAAGAATCCCGACAATCTGCCCGTGAAGATGTGGCGATTATTGACACTTCGTTGCAGTTCATTAACGATTTGGTACGCGTCAACGTTTTTACCCCTCCACACATGCAGGTGTTGCTGTTTTGGCCGCTGCTCACGACTCGTTTCCATCTCTTCAACAACTTACTCTGTAGCTTCGAAACATGTTGGATATGGTAAGACAGAGAACTGAACTGGTTGCCAGGCCAGCTGCCTGATCAAGTTGGCTATAATGATTGAATTCCCTCACCACTCACACATCCACTTCTCTTGTTTGTGCAGCATCGAGCGTCGAGAAACCAACTCAGCATTGATATGGCTCCAGTAGACATCTTGCGGGACGTATTGGAACCGGTTGCCAACATGGTGTATCATCGAGGTGACGACGTGAACGTTGAAATCCACTGCCCCGAAGATCTTTTGGTCATGACAGATCGGCTCCGATTGAAGCAAGCAGTACTTAATCTCTCCAGGAACTCTAGCAAGTTTGTGGAACATGGCTTTATCCGGCTGAGGGCAACCGTCAATGAGGATGATCTAGTCTTCCTCTATATTGAAGACTCTGGCCCCGGGATTCCAAGAGAGAAACAAAGGACCCTGTTTGCCAAGTTCCAAGAGTCTCTGGATAGCTTGGCACAGGGTACGGGACTAGGATTAAATTTGGTGAAGAAGATTGTGGAGCTGATGGGGGGTAACATTTGGCTGGACGAAGACTATGACAGTGGGGTAGAAGGGTGTCCGGGGGCAAGATTTGTCCTTAGTCTAAATGTTCGACCGCTTTCCGAGGCAGTCTTGACCAAACAAGATTCCAAACTCCAGCAAATGGATTACACTGCCGAGACAGATCCCACAAGGGAAGATTCCATGAGCCACGACATTTCAGCAGACGAGTTACCTTCTCCTCTTCCAGATTCTCTCAAGGTACTCTTTGTCGATGACGATGTCATGCTGAGAAAGGTAAGCAAGGCTAGTTCAGCTTGGGGCGTGTGCGTTCAAACTGGCAGTTCCACTCACCCTGCTGTTGCTCGCAGCTCTTTTCCCGTTCGTTGAAGCGTGCCATGCCAAACTGGCCCATTCGAGAGGCTGCCAACGGGGAAACTGCTCTGAAACTTGTAGAAACAGAAGACTTTGATTTGATCTTCATTGATCAATATATGAGTAGCGCAGAGAAGCAACTGCTGGGGACGGAGACGGTACGGGCACTGCGGTCCAAAGGTGTCACATCCATTCTGTGCGGACTTTCTGCCAATGATATGGAGTCTGCCTTTTTGAATGCCGGGGCTAATGCCTTTTTGATCAAACCCTTTCCGTGCAAGACGGAGGAGTTGAAGGAAGCACTCCGAAGGGTGCTGCAAAGCCAAGCCAGGTCGCAAAACTCCATGCGGTCTCTGGCAAGCTGGATGGATGAGGTACCGGGGGGATCTATGGGCTCTGCTGGGACTCGTTGACGATAGATAGGAGTAACTCAACTCTAGCTAATTAGCCAACGAAGCATACAATACCTTGCTGCAATGGAGTAGGCCAGAGAGAGATACCGTAGAGATAGACTCAACTCGACTTGACTCCACCTCATGTTTTGGGCGAAGCCCGGGTTTAGAGTAGGGAAATTATCTACGGAAGCCAGCCGGGGCCAGGCTTAAGCAAAGAACAGTCGAAATTCAGGACTAGGTTCTGAGGGATCAGGGGCAAGAAATTGAGGACCATTACGGGGGGCAAAGGTTTGGCTTTGCGGATCCACGGAGACAAAAATGGTAGCTTTCACAAGGCAATTGAGATACGGGTCTGCATGAAGAAATCATTTGAGAGTAGGAAATTGAGTTTTGGAGGCAATAGCAGAAGCAAGGCGTTTGAAGAGAGTCTTGGCTTGAGGGGCAAGCATGCCATCACTGAAACAACAAAGGGTGGAAGAAGCGATTGGACTCCCACGCGTCTTTATATTTGGAAAATTTGTCGCGTTCTTGTTGGGTTAAAACTTTGATGGGATCTTTGTTGCGGTAAGAGGCACAGTATCAATCAGCGCGACGTCAATAATAGCGTGTGTACCTCGTTCAAACAAGCCGCGAATAAAGATCACCACGTAGAGCTCGGGGGCTGGAGGGGATTGAGAGGGGAGGAAGGGAGGTAATAGAATTGGGTGACGGCAGGGATAGTAGGGGCGGAACACGAGGGAAGGTGTGGTTCTGACTGGACGCTAGAGAACCAAAGCATTCAATGAATAGAACCAAGATTCATTGCGGATTTCATTATCGACGGATGATTAAGCGCGCGTTTGCAATCCAGAGCAGGTGGAACGCTAGGGACCCGTACAGCCATCCCAAAGTGGGAAGAGTGGGGGGGTAAGACCGAACGGAGAAAAAGAGCATCCGCCATTCTTGAGCGAGAGAGTGACGTGCGTTTGGCATATATGGGTGACTGCAAGCCAGGAGCCAGTGCACGACTGCGATTGAGGCGAGCTTCAGCGGAGTGAGAGTGGCTTTGAGTCTCGAAAGCCGCATTGGTAAGCGTCGTATGGCGTTTGTGGCGCTGATACGACCTTCGTGAGGTGTGCGATGGTTTCAATTTGAAGGGATGAAGTGGGGGCAATGAAGGGGGTGGCAGGGTCGTGGAAGGGCTAGGGATGGGAATTAAGGCAAGGGGGCAAGGAGAGCTGAGTAATTTCCGAAGTAATTTGCGAGCTGGCAATGTAGCGGAGGGGGCTTCCGTTATGGGGTTGGGGAGAGAAGGCCGGCAAACTTGTTTGGGGGGGAAGTGAGAGCTCGGGGGGGCAGTTGCTTGAATGAAGGTTCCATAAAGCGGGGAGGAGCTCAAAATCAGAGCATTTCCAAGGGAAGCCAAGAATCGAGGGGACACGACAGACACTTGCACAAATTGCCATTCATTTGGAGAGACTTTTGGAAGGCAATATAAGCCGACTTGGGGTAGAACTGAGCCACTTAACAAAGAGATTGAATGCATGCCGTCCAAGTTGTGATTTTGGAATAACAACCAGGAGGAAAGAGGCTTCAGTTCGCCGATAGACCACCGAGAAATCTGGACCATTGGTGACTTTGAGTGAGAGCCGCGGGTACGCGTAAAATGAGTGGTGGCTGTGTGAAAATTGGCACTGTGAGTAATAATTTGCATTTATTGCGCTGAACAAAGTGCGAATGGTTTGCCTAGCCGAATAAGACGGTCTAGAAGCAATATGTTAAATCAGTAAATGCCGGCAGCATTGGCGTCATCGGCATACAGAGATGCAGAAGGTGAGGGAACTCATGGTGAAGCCGTTTAATGAGGGAACTAAGGCTAAACCGTAGCAGTAAATGGCTAAAGGATCACCTTGCACGAATCCAACAGCGCTGAGGATAATGTGAGCTGTTCCAGCGGTGAGTCGTGAAAAATAACAAGGGACAATGTTTGTAACTGTTGAAGGTAAAGCGGCGCCTTCGGGCCAAAGATGGCGAACTGTATAAAGCATGGCAGTTCGATTCAATTCGTTGAAGGCATTAGAGGCATCTATAATAAGGAAGCCGAAATCAGAGTCGAGACTGTCAGATGAGCCAAGGTGATGATCCCAGACATGATTGGCCGTGTGGACGGCACCTTCAATGCCTCATGTTTTGGTGGTTGTGTGAGTTTCGACGGCATTGGTTCAGCAGTTGAATGGGGGTTAAGGATTTAGTGCGGCACTGAAAGGCTTAATGTTTGCATTTTAGGTCTACTTTTCTTTTTGAAACTCCTCCACTTCTTTCAATCCTTCCATCATCTCCGACGAAGAGAGAGACCATACAGTACCATTTCGGTTTGTTACGATAGTAGACCATTGTTGCGCCATCACAGCTACCTGTCACTCTCTCAACAATGAAGAAGAGACCAGGTCATGGCAAGATGCACGGCGACGGCGTTGTGAGGAAGCGGGTGGCGGTGCAATCATGGCAGCTTTTTCTTCGTTTTCTATTGGTGGTCTTCATCTGGATGCCCCTGTCGACTGGTTTGACCTATGACAATGACTTCAACGATCCCCAGGAGGCACCAACTCGTCACACAAAAACCAAACGTCGAACACATGTACCAATGGAAGATCTCGCCCTGGGAGGAATGGAACCAGAAGAGGCAGCACAACAAGTACTAAGGCGCATTGGCTCTGGCGTGAGTATTCGTACTCTATGGTGGTGGTGCACTCATCCTCGCGAAGAGATGACTGGCTTTGAATGCGCTCTCAAATACTAGGCTGACTTTCTTGTTTTTCTTCTGATGACAGGTTGAAGGGCGCTTGACCAAGCTGTTTGAAAAAGCCACCACACCGGAATGCCGTTCCAAGATTGCGGAACACTTTGGTTATTTTATGAACGCCATTGGAACTGAGCGAAGTCTTCCCTTTCAGGATGTCACGTTTCGAAATGAATGTCCATCGCCTCCTACGTACAACTATGACAATCCTGATCCAGCACTCCATTTGGGAATGATTCAAAACAAAACCTACAAACCTGACGATGGAATTTATAAGCAACCAGAGGACTTGAGATTCTGTTATGCCATCATGACACATGAACATGCACATGAAACAATTCGCTTGATGGAGGCTCTCCATGAACCAGGACACGTCTTTATTGTCCATGTAGACGCCAAGGAAGCTAGTCAAGAGACACACTATGAACTCAAACAATATGCTTCCTCGCGACCCCACATTCACATTTTGGATCATCCCAACAGAGTCAGTGTCAATTGGGGTGGATTCAGCATGGTCAATGCTACCTTGCAGATGCTCCATTACTCCTTTGAAAAGGATTTGGAATACGACAAATTCATCCATCTGGCATCCACCAACTACCCACTGGCATCCAACGCCAAGATTCGAGAGACCATTGCTAACTACCCCATCGATGCCAATCTGGTGCATGTAGTTCTCAAGCCCAGCCGCCCCAAACTCGCATCGTGGCACTATTTCGTTGAATGCGACGATGCTGTGCATCGAATCTACCGACTACCACCTCTCATCAATGCCACTGCGGGAGTGGAGCTGTACACATCCAGTCAATGGTTCACATTGAGTCGGGAGTTTGCACGGTACCTGGCATACCCCAGACCCAACACGTTTGTCTACGAGTTTCTACAATATGCGCAGCACGTTGTGGTGGCGGATGAGACGTTCTTTGGGACGGCCCTTCTCCACTCTCCCTATTGTGACAAGCATCACAATTGGAACTTTGTCCACTTGCAATTCGATCAGTGGGAAAACCAAGTGGCATTGGAAGAGCGAGACCCCAAAAAGTGCATCATGCCCGACCCGAATCACTGTGGGCGGTCCCCCACTACCATCACGATGGACTATGTGGATCTATTGACACTCTCGGATGATTTATTTGCGCGCAAGTTTGCGGACAATCCCGATGTGAAAGATGTCTTGGATCGGCACCGATTAGAACAGCAACAACTGTACAATGACAACAGCACGGCCAAAGCGGTGCCAAGCAGGGTGAATACAACTTTTGAAGGTCAGGGGGTTTTGATTGTGGCCAAAGACACCGTATCCAGTGACACGCCCCTCTGCGTGGGACTGGGGCCCACGGGAAATTATGCAAAGCTGGTGCCATGTTTCTATGAGGGTATTCCGCCATCGTTGGCGGAGGGATGGGAGACGGGAGCTGTCATTGTCGAAGAGACTCCGATGCACAATCGATGGCGGCTAGGACCCTGTACCCCCGATGGCAACTTGGAACGTCAGTAAGTATTCCTCTTTCATGTTGACATGGCACAAGCAACATGGATTCGCTCAATTTGTACAATCAACTCATCATTCTTTGCTTCCCACACGAAAGGTTCTCTGCCGAGATGAAAATGACACCAGGAGACTACAGTCCAACAGGTCCACGCTGCACGTTGACTCAAGTGGATGGTATTCGAGAAGGCAGATGCCTGGACGCCCATTCCAACGACATTGAACCTGGCGGCAAGGCCAGAGTCTTTCCTTGTGTCAAACGATGGCCTCAGTTCTACTCGTTTGGAAATGGCGCGCTGGCGCCCCAAAATAGCATGCACACAAACGTGCCCAAGCACATTGTGGATCGGATACGACAATCACGGCCGGATGAACCACCGCAGGAAGCATACCTGTGCTTGGGTGTGCTGGGAAGGGGTGACAAGGATGAAGAACACTTGTATGTAGTAGAGACAGACGACGAAAATGCGCCAGATGAAGAGATCGTGGTGAAGGAATACGATGACGAGGAATTTGGCAGTGACGGCTTTCTCAAGTTGGATCACTTTCGAGGCGAGGAAATCGTTGCAACTCGGTGCTCCAATGTTGGGGCCGTGATCGAATGGTTGTTTGTGCCCTACATTCTCGAAGATGACCCGGACGTGGAGCAAGCCACAACCGTAGACCTCGCCGGTGAATCAAGCAATAGTGAGGCCAAGGCAACCCAACCTTCACAACCAACCTGTGCATCAGAGTCGTGCGGCGAACCAGACCTAAAGTCGGAGCAATAGAAACTGTGTCAATCAAGTGAAGCCTTGAAGCTTGGCCACGAGGCAAATGGCCTCTGTTCATCACTTCTCCAAGTACCAGACTATCTTAGGGTTTGACTGTCATCTTGTATCCACTAGCAAGCTAGTACATGTACCGTAGGCAACGCCGAGTGACTCTGTCAGCCACAATACGCTATACTAGTATTCTGTCTGCTAACATGCAATTACTTAGGAGGTTATAACTGAAACTAAGCCAAGTAGAACGCTCTTCCCTTCGTTGACTACTTTTTTGAACCGAAGGTAGCTCTACCAGAAAGATGCAGATTACTTCATTGGCTACCACGCATGGCAGCGAACCGCGCTTTATTCGTTGGATGTGAACTTCTTCACTGCCACATAGAGTGAGCGGACCCATGTGAGTTTGGGATCATCTTCCCGCAACCTCCTCGACAAGTTGCTCAACAGAGCAAATGATAGGCGAAGGGTACCAATGTGTCCCAGCACAGCGCAGGCCCCAAGGCTGCCGCCATACATTGCCCCGACAACAGACGGAAGGAACGCATCGGATCCAGAAAGGAACAAACCTGGGACGGAAGTGTGAGGAGTTGTGGTCCACTTGGAGATGCAGAAAAAGACGAGATGTAAGGGGCATGATGCAACCATGATTTTATGGGGACAATTCCATTCCTCCGCGCACCTTCCTATTGATGGGCTTAAACATTTCCTGGTTGCAGAAGGTACCATAGCTGCCACCGCGATAGCTACGTAGGGAAAGGAGACGAGAGAGAGAGGTGAGAGCAAGGTAGAAGAGAAAGGTTTTGTCATTGGTCTCCACATCACAAATACTCACCTCGACAAATAGGTTACTTCTGTAAGGGGAGTGCCCAAGTGATAAAACTCTACTTTGTCCCTCACTTGAGGTACTGCCTCTAGCAAGATATCCATGAGATGCACCCGCAACTCCTCTTTGAAGGCCTCGTACTCGGGTGCCCGGTGCCTCGGTGGCATGTTCTTCCATTTCTCAAACCACTATGCAAGAAGGAAAGAGGGACGACAACGGTCAGGGGTTGATCTCAAGAGCGCCTTGGATCCTTTTGCCTGCTCTCTCTCTCTCTCTCTCTTCACCTACCTCGTATTGTCCATCACTGATCATGATGCAGTTGCCTGATGAAAGACGACAAGTACAGCAAACAAATGTATTCATCAGACGATGGAAGCAAAGGATTCATGGTGTACAGGTGCAATTGCAAGACTTACTGATGCCAGGGAATCGGCGCTTCCATTTAGTGTCCTTCGTGCAAGGGAACCCAATGTAAACGGTGGGAGGGCGCACTTGACAAGGCTGATGCATATATGAGTCGAACGCCTCGTCAATACCATATCCGTTAAAGTACCACAGGTTGTGCTTTGGCAGATCCAATTCGTCGGGATCTCCTTTGATCTTACAGAACAAGAACACATGCCCATTGCTCTGCCTGATGGAGCGCTCAGTTGGTTGCTACATGTAGGGGGGTTGCAGCGAAACGTGTAAGATGATGCCAAGTGCAATGGTGGTGCGCCCGGAGCAAACACGTTCTTTCGTTTACCTGAAAGCGTTTGACTACAGGAAGGTCTTGTGGCAGCAGTTTGTTGTATAAATTATAGACAGACGTTGCGCAGACGACATTCTTGGCGAAGATCTCTGTTTCTGGAACCAATAGCTTCTCCTCCTCCGAGTTGCATTCGGCTAATGCCGAGGTGCTACTGACGCGGACCCCAACAGCTCTGCCATTCTCCACAATGATGCCCCTGACCGTAGCATCGACAAAGACTTCCCCGCCATAGGCACGAACCATACTAGTCAATCGGATGGAGATTTTCTGTGTGGCCCCAACTGTATACGAACCACCGTCCATATAGTGTGCCATGGTGATGCCGTGCGCAGCCATCGTCGCCTCACGAGGTTGCACAGCGTAATCCCCAATAGGATGGGTTAGGACGGCCTTGAGTCTGCGTATGGATGTATCGGGCTCGATGCCTTCAGGGGCCTTGGGAATTTCCTGATACTCTGCCAACAACTTTTCCTTGGAGTAGCCCAATGCCAGCACAGCATGTTGAACATCCCTCACTGTCAAGGTAGCATACTTCATCAGTCGATCCACCTTCTCCTGGACCAGAAACTGCAGAGAATTGGGTAGGATGCGTGATATTCCCAGAGCTGTAAATCCATCGTGGATATCGTTGCACACGTCCATGTAAACCATTGCCCTCAAGCGCAAAGTCTCATTGTCTGGGTCAATGCGTTCCATGATTCTGTCCACCGTTTCCATACCTCCACTGACAAACGGATACGTCTTGTGATTGGGAGCACCTTTCTTGACGTGGTTATCCGCTGGAAAGACAATTTCATCATATGGATCCTCCAGCGCAGTCCACTCCTGAAAGCCATGAGAAGCAAAATCCATGATAGCTCCAGAACGAGCCGTTGGCTGGCCCATTGCTTTTGAAGTATAGTGCAAGCCTGTGTCCCATTCGCCTGCAGAGGTGGGCACAACAATTTTTGGGTTACGATGCACGGAATGAAAATGAACAAGCAACTCTCCAAGTCAGTACGTACAATTTTGCTCTCGAAAGCTATGAGTGCATCCACCGGTCACTGTGGGATGCTGCTCCAACACCAAAACACGCTGTCCCGATTGCGCCAAGAGACTGGAAGTGGTAGATCCCCCCGATCCAGAGCCAATCACAATTGTATCCAACTTTTCAGGCACCATTTCTGGCTGAAAGGCGACGGCACGCATCGGCTGAACCTTGCGCTTGACAGGCCAACTCAACACGAGATAGGCCAGGAACAGCAATGACATGATGGTTGTGGCCACAATCAGCCCCAACAGCACCCAAAGGGAGCCTTTCCAGAGAGCCGATAAGGTCACGGGTGGGAGAGACAAGATCACCGGACCCAGCATTAGTATCATCAGGAGAAACATCTCGTCGTGATGAGAAGGACCCTTGGCATGGATTTCATTGCCTCCTTGAGGAGGATGGTGAATCATCATCCTCATTGTGGTATCTTTTTTTTCTTTTCTTAGGTTTTTTTCAGTTTGTTTGTCTTTCTTACTTTGTTGTTTTGTGCTATCAACACACTTCCATCCATCAGCGGCTTCTGTTTGGACTTCGCAGGTTGTCTTGATCCCACGACTGCATCCTTTCATTCTTCAGCTTCCGTTGCAATAGCTTGGCAGCCCATTTCTTGGACCCAATGACAAGTGGGTTCTCACCAAAAGTAAGAACTGCGAATTCAGCTTGGCCTTGGAAGGGAAGCACTGCTACTGCGCTGCAGGCATGTGCGTGGCATTGCAGCGTTTATAGATTTGCCGCGGCATCGACCTCCTTCGATGCGAACGAACGTGCGACGAACCCAGAATGTTGTCAAGCAAGGCGATGTGATCGATTATTCGATTCGATCCGACTCTTTTATCATTCGATTCGATTGATTCGCTTCCGGGCCAGACCTTCAAGGGTGCTGGCAGACTTGCGGGAGTCTCTTCTCAGCTCGAAAGTTGGCACTTTTACCAGCTGAAGAGCAAAAAGAGTTTGTGGATGCAATCGTCTCCACTCATCTTGATTGTGTCTCAAGAGTGCGACAACAAGAAGGCAAATGTTATCAAGCTCTACTTTGAAATGATGATGGAAATTGCTTGACGTGTGGACACCGCCGACGGACCAGCTCGCACTCCTTTGGAGCGAGGCGAGGGTACCGCTAGCCCCATTGGCTTTGATTCGTGGCCTCGTCAGTTCTGCTGATAAGGCCATGCACCACCGAATTAGACTGGGTTACATGGATGGCTTGGAGGAGGACCGAGTGGCTGTGAAAGTAGCTGGAATCAGTCATGTCGTTTGATTTTGAATCAACTTGCGCAAAAAGCCTTCAAGCCACTTGTTAAAGCACGCATAAAAGAGGAGCGAGCTTTCCTACTGCCCCGCATCTTCCGATCTATCTGCTGAATTTGAAGGGATCATTAGCTGTGCATATTTTAAAATAGCATTTTTTGTTTGTGATTGTAACCTACTCAAAAGTGATCATAGCTTTCTCCAACCAACTGTCTTTTGGATTAGTCTGCCCATACTTCATAGTCATCCATTTGCTTTGTTTGTTCGTTGGTCAGATATCGTCGGGATTTTCCCTGAAATCGGAACGGTAAGGAGAAGAGCGACAGCAACCAAATCGAGGCATACACCAAGGGAGCAGCTATCAGAAGGCAGATCATGGAGTAGAATGCTGTCAAGATGGGTGCTCGATTCCAATTCAGAAAGGCATACAAGGAGTCATCATTGCTGCTTTTGTAGGGGTTTCCAATTTCCAGGTAAGAATGGATCAAGCTCCAAAGAAGGAACATGTATATAACTCCAAGAAAGAACCATTGGTGGTTGATGCGAATTGGGATCTGGTTCAGGCAGAGTCCCTCCGAAATGAGCAAGAGAAAGACACTTCCAAAACTGATGAGACTTCCCTCCAAGTCTCCCCCCTGGTACTCAAATATCCAAAACGCGAGGGAAGCAAAAAGCTGAGCCGGAGCCGCAATGGAAAACAACGTCCAAGAAGCCTTGTGCCATCCGTTAGGGAAATAATGGACACTGGGAAAGTTCAACTGGGCAGTGGCAGGTCGCAGGACATGACCAATAATGGAAGACCACATATACAGCACCGTCGCTATATTGGCCCAATGATCAAAGGTTGCTAGATAGAACGCCCTGGGTTGTGTTTGGAAAAAGCCGTCCGCCGTTATAAAGGTGATCCATACACCAATCACAAACTTCATGGCGCAATTCCACCATTTTGGCCTGCTGCTAAACGAAGCCGGAATGTCCACATATTTATCTGTGACTTCTCGTATCGAATAGAGCTGCCGTATCTCCATTGCATCCAGTTCTGCATAGTATCGCTCCCGAATGCCCATTGAATTTTTCTCGCTGGCAGATCTGTCGCGTTTCGTGTTCTTTCCCGTCCAGCCTGTCGATGTTTGCGTCTCGTCTCCGGCCCCTTGCGTTTCCAGCAAATCATTATCCATGGCAAACCTCTCGTCGTAGGCATCTTCTCGGTGCTTTTCGTTGCGACATGTTAGCTTTCGAAAGAGTTTCTTCCAACCCATGGTCAAGTATAATGAATGATGAATGATGTCCAAGGGCTAGCTTGCTGTGGCATAAATTAGTGTGAGTTGTCTCCAGATCTAATGAGGTTGGATGGAGCAGGAGAAGGCATGGCTACCGTTGCACATGTTGGAGTATGGTACTTAGATCCGTTAGAAAAGGATACTTAAAGGCGAGCATGAGGTGCTTTCAGCGCTCACAATTATTATTAGTCTTCTCTTCCGTAATGCGCTTGGCGGGCTGGTGCGAACTGCGAAGGGACCTGGCTCTGCAAACAGGAAGCGGTACGTGGTACCGTACTATCTATATCATATTTCAAAGCTAATAAGCGAAGGGAGAGGACGACTGGATACAGATTGAGTAACACCAGGCGACAAAACGACCAAGGGTTTCTTGCTTTGGATTGGAGCACCGGTTTGGATTACTAGCTAGGCGGGGGGATACGTATCCCACAGTTCCATTTTTCGATTAATTTCTTGCCTACCAAGGTTTGCTTGCTCTGCTAGATTGAATCTCTGTGAGATCTAATTAGCTAGACTATGCTCCTCCAGGGGGTCCACCCAGAATCGATTGAAGCGTTCCAACCATATCCCGTAGCTCAGTATCGTCTTTTAAGGCCTGTTCCAGCTCCTCTTGTCCACCCGTCATGACAAGTTTCATGGCTTCTTGCATTTTGGTACTTTGAAGCAGAGTCATCACCTCTGGATTCTCCACCAGATTTTTGAATTGTTCTGGACTCAAACCACCGGGCAAATTTCCATCGTTCCCTACCGCCTGGTCGAGAAGCACGTCGTCACTCAAAGCTTCATCCACCGGTTGGCGACCTTCAAATTGATCTTCTAAACGCTGTTTGTTGAATTGATCAATCAGTTCTGGGTTGGCTTTGCCGCTCATTCGAGCAGCTGTGAGACGTTCGTCTAGGGATTCCTTGTCGAAGCAATCGTCATACGCCACTCCTCTCGTGTCCAGTTCCGCTTTGATTTCGGATACCCTCATTTTTCCTGGTTCTACTTCTTCTTCATCCTCTTCATCTTTATCGTCGATCGATGCATCATCCGAGCCTTCGGCAGTGGCAAGGGGGACGATAATATTGCCTCTGGCTTTTGGTAGTCCTGCCCAGGTAGGAAAGACGAGTGGTGCCGGAGCAGCGCGGATTCTTTGCAGCTGCCGATTCAGCACTGGCAAGACAAGCAAGGAATGGCTTGACGCTACCAAAGCGACAAAGATAAAACAAACGAAACCAAGAAATGTCATCTCTTTCTACTGGTGGTCGTTTCCTTCTTGATGAGCGTGACTTGTGGTCGGTGGTGTGGATTCACATCAGGATTTGAAACTTGAGAACATATCTCTTGTATCTTTCGATTTTCGATGACACCTATCGAACGACGCACTGACGTCCATCGCATTCGATGGTCCATAGCGAACTTCAAAGCCTTGGTAGTGTAGATAGCTCAAAGCATCCAAACCAGTAGTGAGGACAACCTATCTAAGCTCTAGCTAGCTACTAGATTGAGCTCCTGCAAAGCAAGACTTTCATATCTACAAAAACAGCCAACTCTCATGCAACCATTTCAAACATTACTTCGCAGTTTTCAGCCACCGTAGAACCGTTCCTGCCAGACATCCAGCATGCAGACCTACCATACTCTTGGTGGCTCTGCCTCCAGCCATCCACGACCACTTCTTGTTTAAACTGCAAATTTTACACCAGTGGCTTCCTCAGTGGAGCGCAGAGCATGTTCATGGCATCCTTGTCTGTCTCAAAAGGCTGAAATTCTGTCTCATCCTTGCTTATTGACACCTCCCCATTCAAATTGTGAACTTCACACCAGTAGCTTCCTCACTTGTACGCCACAGCATATCCATGGCATCCTTGTCTGTCTCATAGGGCTGCGGAGGGTTTGGAACCGCTGCTCCACTCAGTGCACTCTTCTGTTTCCCATTCAAAGGGCCATACAAAACGCCAGATTCAGCAGAAGGAATGGCCATGCCAGTGAGCAAACCAACTGACCCATCTTCGGGTGACTGGGCCATAAACTTCATGGCAACACTAAAGAAAGCATTTGTGAAAAATCCATAGTTGAGGTGATCGCCCAAGTTAGTGTTGGACCCCCCTGGATGTGCACACACTGCACGGATTTTGGAGCCCTTGGCACTCAACTTCTCATGCAATGCATAAGTGAAGACAGAGTTTGCCAACTTGGTTTGGAAGTATCGATGGTAGGGACCACCACCCATCATGATTTGCTCATTTCCACCCAAGTCGCCTCCATTCTTGAGGAAGTACTTCTCTTCCAGACCATTGTTGGGTGTGTGCTCACGTCCAAGAGAGGAGTGATTAACAATGCGAGCGTCACCAGTGGCATTAGCCTCTGCTTCAAGCAGAGGAAATAGCTCAGCTGTAAGCAAAAAGTGACTGAGGTGATTGGTTTGCATTTGAGTGTCATATCCATCCTTGGTTGCTTCATCAGGAGTGGCCATGATTCCTGCATTGTTAGCGAGACAATAAATTTGGCTGTACTTGGACTTGATTTCCTTGGCAGCTGTAGTAACAGAGGCAAAGTCCTGCAAGTCACACTTAATAGGGACAAATTTTCCATCTGTCACAGCGCTCTGGAGTTTTTCCAAAGAATCCTTGGAACGACTGGATTCGCGGTTGAGAAGCAGCACTTCTGCACCAAGCTCGGCAACAGTGCGAGCGGCAACAAAGCCAGTTCCAGATGTGGTTCCAGTAATCGCAATGACTTTTCCATCAAGCTTGGGAAGAGTTTCCTTGAAGTTGTTGTAGAGACGTGTCATGGTTATAGTTTTTCTGGGTTGTTTTGGCTTGGTGGTTGTGTTGTTTGTTGTTTGTTAGGGTTGTGAAAGTGATTTGTTGTTTGGTACTTCGGGGGAGAAAACAGGAGGAGCCAGATGGCGGCCACGCCACTCCTTCGAGATCTTTTGGTGGGTTGCCACTACCTTTAAGTAATGGAGTGCCGGTTTGGAGCACCCGGGATGCCCTGAATCTTTTCTTGGATCATCCTCTCTTTGCCTTTATTTGTTGGCACGTGCTCGCGGAAATGGTACCAAACCACCAGTTTGACCAAGAGTTGACCAAGACAGCAAAGGATAAAGGATTGTCTGTGGTTCTGTGGTTGGTGTCTTTGTCATCATCTTAGCCAATGGGTACTACTTTACCGGTAAATTGTACGGTACGATGTGCTCTTGTGGGCCAGAATGATGAATAAATAGAATTGAATCCTAGCAACATTCAACATCCTGTGTCTACTCGGAGGACTACCACCATGCACCCTGCATTTGAAATAGCAATGCCCGGTGCTCCAACGGGTTGCTTGCAAGGATCAATCTGAACAAGTGTGTCTGGAAGATACGAAGACACTCCAATCTCGTAGGGTCACAAAGGATCTGGGGGAGGAGACATACTGCCACGAGCCACTAGTAGAGCCGACAGATGTGCACATAAACAAATTTCCGTGGAAACAAGCAACTGGATGCTGGCTTCCACCAGGAGTGATCAATTGGCTCGCTCATCAAGTCAATCAAATCCCTCCCGTAAAACACAGGCAGCACGCTGCCCATGAGGTGGACCTGTCTGTGTTGAATTCACTAGCTTCTCCAAGTTTCCAAGTACCCTTCAGGTAACTAGATAAAGACTTGGTCTACTAGGAAGGTTGAATTGCATACAAAACCAGAGTCTATAAAGATTATGATCACCCACACCAATGGTGGGTGATGAACTAGATTGTGAGTCTGTCCTCCTATCCTGGAACCCATAACCCTATCCAACACACTCCTGCGATCCTGATGAGGTTCTCATCTAGCGATCGGCGTCATTGGTTGTTGTTGTTCCGAGGATGATGTCTCGCATTCGGATGAACAGACTCCCTTGCAGTGGCTTGGTGAAGAAGTCAGCCACCATCTTTGTTGTGGGACAGTACTCGACGGTAACGTCGCCCTTACGTACCCTGTCAGATACGAAGAAGTATCGAATATCGATGTGTTTGGTGCGCTTTCCACTGGATGCTTTGGCATTCTTTTCCAGAAAGACGAATGCACTTTAGGTTGTAATGGTAAATACGCACTTATCGCAAGATGTCGTGTGACTGTGTGTGAGGGGGGATTTCTAGGAACCTAGTGTCCATAACACTTAGAGCATTTAGATGTTCAACCGCGGACCAATTACCGCCTCCGTAGAGCTCCTAGTGTTGGTTTTTGTCGATGTAGATGCTCCACCACGCCATCCAGTCCAGCTAAGAGCAGCTCCAGTGTGACTCTTCATGTCGGATGGACAGAATGAGCCGTCAGATCCACCATTTCGAGTAGTTGTGTGTTGGTCGGCACTGAGGCGATGTTACTGGGATCATGGTCGCTCTGCAAATACTGATTCATGCGACACATAGTTTCTTGTAGTCGTCTTCATCTGGGCTCTTAACTCTTGTGGACAGAAATGCCACGGCAGTTTGGATATCTGGTCGTCCTCTTTTCGATAGGAACAAACTCTTGGCCACAATATGATGATACATTTGTGCCAGTGATTCGTGAAGCTTCACCGGATCCACGTTGTTGACTTGGAAGAGATGGGCTGCAGCCGGAGTTGCGCTCTCACCACTCATGTCGTCCGGAGCCTCTGCCAGAATTTCTTCCACGTAGTCACGCATGTCTATCTTGACATGCCCTTCCTCTGTGTAGTCGAGCTTCATGCCTAGATAATCATGGACTTTTCGTTGGTTTGATTAGTTAGTGGGCTTTCCTTGGCGAAACGCTTGAGAGAGTCTGCCACCAACTCCATTCACGTGGGCAGTCGATCGCTCAATTGTGATGATGTTAGATCGATAAACATGCCATTGCGTATGTGCATGTTTTCGTCGATTCATTTTGTTCGCGAACAGCTGATTCATAGGGATTTGAGTCTTCGAAACGCACTCGACCAGCTTGAGCGATTAGTTCTTCCAGAACAGGTAACGCCGCTTTCAGTGGTGCCGAGTACAGACCTGAGAGCGAGTTCGACGTACAGCATGGCTTCCTTTTTCCAGGACGATGTACTTTCGGTACATCTTGGTGTCGATCAATACCAATAGTTCAGCCATCTCACCCTCTAGCTTCATATGAGTGAGCTCATCGTTGTCGGCTTGCATAAATGCTCCTGGAATATCAACCGTGACCACCTTCCGATTCTCTTTTGCATCGATGATGCTGGATAGGATAACCGCTTCGGATCCTCACTGTTGGTGAGCTGGCATCCTCCTTGTCCGTGTACATACGTTGTTTCCTCCCATCTGCGCAGCCACGCCCTTTGATGCGGCCGCATCGCTTTTGCTTCAGGAACATGAGGTACTTCAGGACGCGTCGTCTCTGTTCACGATCAAGAGTCTCCGGTCTGATTGGTTTCATGACTGCACGGTCATGTAACTGTTTCATTTCCTTGTGTACAGCCTCCAGACCTGCCTTTCCGAACATCTTCAGCCCCTTTTTCATGCCCATTTGCGGCGTCTGAAAGGTCTTTGTGGATTGTTCCATTGCTATTTCGGCTTTCTTTTCAGCCTTAACGTGTCTGAGGGCGGTGATCAAGTGTACATGCTCATGTGTAGTACTGTGCATTTGTGCTGCTCGTGCTTGGCCTCTGGTGCGCGTGCCGACGGTGGGATTTTCGCCGCTGATGGCGATTCGGTTCAGCTCGCGAGACAGTTGTGTTGACGGTTCTTGCTGAGCGTCGTCGTCGTCGTAGTAGTCACGTTATGTCACTGTCTTCTGTGACAACGTTGTCACCATCCCCGTCACTGTCGGTGTCATCTTCGCTGTCGCTAGATTCTTCTCCGTCGTCGTCATCAGGAGGTTGTTGCTGATTGTCTTGGTTCTTGGTTCGTTATTGCGAACTCGTATCCAATGTGCGTGGTTCTGGTGGATTGAGGCCGTCTTCTCGTTGCTGTAGATCACGGACTTCGTCGTCATCCACTCCTGTAATGTCGGGGATCGAGGAATCGTTGCTCCAAGCGTTAATTGCAACTTAATCATTGTCGTCGTCTGGGTCATAGTCCTCGTCATCCGCGTCATCAGTGATTTCCTGATTATTGCGGAAAAATCCTCGTGGAAAAATGAAAAACCCCTGTTGCCGCTTTGGTTGGCTAATGGGTTGGTCTGGTTGTCGCAAGTATCCCGTTAAATATATATATTATATCTTGTCCATTAGAGAACTTCGTATTGGATAACTACATCAGACTCCGACCGAGCAGGGAGGTTCCATGCACATCAAAGGCTGGAGATAGAACTCCCGCGGGGAACTGTAGAGTGTGATAGAGTAGGTTGCATTAGCAATCCTACTCACTCAGCAATCCTACTCACTCACGATCCTCTAGCGCCTTCGCATTAGCGATGCGCCCCTGGGTTGTATGTGTATGCCATTTGACGTTGTCGTTGCCTCGTCGTGGACTTGAGCGTAGGTCCCATACTCCAGTCGGCAATGTTTATTGAAGTCTATTTTCAGCCCGGTAACTAGCTCTCGAGGGCTTATCACTCCGGACACTCCTGGAGTTGGTGGGAACACGTTTAGCCAGAAGTTTGCATGGTGGACCATTTGGCTGACCATCTGTGCTGGCATCTTCTTGAAGGGAAGAGTATTGTATGTCGCTCGTGTTCTCTCCTTGATTGTGCGGATTCGTCGCTCTATCTCTGGGACATGTTCATCCCTAGATGTGGTGTTGAGCTTCACGCCGATTGCGGCAAGATTTCCCATGATTGGCTCGAACTCGCCATCCATGTTTATTGTCGTGATTTGGAAACCCCGACCTCTGTATATCTTGACAACACCGTGAATGGCTGACATAACTGTTGTTGCTCTTTGATTCCTGAGGATTTCCGTAGTCCCGAACTTGATTGCACTATTGTACGTGACCATGAATGGGATGCGATTGACCTTCATGATGTCCCCGCTCAACGTGAGAGTTTAGTACGCTGCAATTGATTTTGGAGTAGGGCCGGATGATCTGTTTGCTGATGCATCCGGTTTGAGCCTTTTCTGGCACTGTTTTCATTTTCAGGGATCTAGATCCGGAACCATATGTGTTCCGAAAGCGGCTATGGCATCATCGCGATTGATGGGACAGTTTGGTAGCTTGTTGTTGTCGATGATGTCTAGGAATGTTTTGAGGCTAGGCCTTCCTATGATTTTCTGGATGCTACGGGCTTTTACAGCTTTTTGGTAGTCAGCATTGGTGTACTTAGACTTATTCTCTTCTACAGTATTGATGAGAACGGTCCCGTTGCCTTTGCCGCTATCCATTTCCGTATAGAACAGACCCTTTGCTGATTGCTGGAAGAGTCGGTCACCATTTTCTTTGTGCACAATGAACGTGTTGCCTGCTTCACTGTCATATGTAACTCTGTGTCGCCTTCGGACGTTGGCAAGCGAGAGGATATTGGCAATGCCTCCCTTACAATACCAGACCAGTCCGTATCCTTTGAGTGTTCCTTTCATTTGGGTGGTGACGCTACCAGCCTGTGTGTGGATTCGAAGTGTCTCCGCGACCTGATGAATATTTTCAAGGAGGTGTGGATTAGCAAACACGTCGACCGTAGACTGGTTGTCTAGGAGGATCCACGATAATGGAATTCCTTCCTTCAACATCGTCTGGATAACGGCGGATACCGTAAAGCAGTACTCTACTCGTTCTGACTCACCGATTTCGACAGCGTCGAGAAGGAATTGGGCCTGTTCAATTTCAGTTCCAATTGTTCCGTCGGTCACGTTCGAATGGGCGTTATCCCTGTCGTTATTGTCGTTGTTGTTGTTGTTGTTGCGTCCTCTGCGCCGATTGTTGCGGTTGTTCGAGCTGCCATCGCCGTCATTGGTGAATGAGACGCCGTCTTGGTGCTGGCCGCGATTGTTGCCAGTGGATTCGTTTTTCCAATGGACCATTTTGTTGTATGCTCCTGATAGAGTCTTTGGCCACTGATCGTTCCCAGCAATGAACTGGTTTTCGAAAAACGTGAGCATATTGCCGTGTCTGGATCTTTCTGCTCCTTGGAGTAGTCCCATTGATAACATTCGTTCCTTGCATGTTTCGATGACGGTCTTCATTTGATCATCCGTGATCTGGGTGCGATCGATACCGGAGGTTTCGCAGACCTTGTCCACTAGTCCATCCTCCAGTCCGATCGATCCTCCGCATTGATGGACTACCTCCACCTGATTGCGGAACTTCTCATAGTATGCCGCATCAGACTCGTGTTTGCCCTGTCTAAGAGCGTACAGACGTCTCTTGGCCTCATGAATTGACTGTGCACGGTAACGTTGGTCCTGATAATTGAAACAGATCCCTCGGATCATGCGTAGCAGGTCGATCCCGTTCCTTTGGTCGGATACCGTAGGGAAGTCAGTATGTCCCTCGATTCTTGCCACTAGGGCATCACTGCACTGTCCAATGACAAGTGCATATAGTTTTTGGACTTGGTTGGTCATCATCTTGCGATCCTTGATTATTTCCTTGGCTTCCTGCTCCCACATGTACTTTTCAGTGGGATCACATTGGTCTGTTCCATAGTGATCAGGGGCATCAGGCATAACGACCGTAGGTTGTTCAAGTTTCTCGACTGCCTTCGACATGGCGCCTCCGTGTGAGTAATTACTTCCAACATAAATGGAAAGCTGCTCGAGACTCTTTGTGAAAACATCGGTTTGATTGTATCCAGAGCAGTCAAAGATGTGTCCTTTCATTTCATCACAACTCCCAGTGAATCTTCCTTGACGTGGTGGGTTGCTTCTTCGATTATTGGTTCCCCGGTTGTTATTACCAGGTCGGGCATTGCCACTTGTAGCATCTCCTCCGGATCTCGTCCCGTCCGGTGTGGAACTCATGCTTGCACTTGGTGTCCTCTTGATACAGTTAACTGTAATCGACACCGATTCCTGTGCTGGTAATCTTTATAGACTGTTGAATTCACTAGCTTCTCCAAGTTTCCAAGTACCCTTCAGGTAACTAGATAAAGACTTGGTCTACTAGGAAGGTTGAATTGCATACAAAACCAGAGTCTATAAAGATTATGATCACCCACACCAATGGTGGGTGATGAACTAGATTGTGAGTCTGTCCTCCTATCCTGGAACCCATAACCCTATCCAACAGTCTGTGGTGCCCTCTGAGACTGAGATCAGTTAGTTTCACGAACGCACTTTCGGGCCAAGCAAGTGCGATTTGAAGAGTTGCTTGTCCACATGTATCATGGACTTATTCATTCTATTCGTGTATTCAAGGATTGCATTCTCGCACACCTTCACAATCATCCATTGAGGTGATCCTTCTTCGACATTCAATTCATCTTCTTTTCCAACACCGTTGATTTGGATTTTTAAAGGGCATAGTGGGATCGAGTTGCTCCACTATAGAGTACGGGCATTCAAAGTGACTGTAATCTCTGTTGGACTGCCTGCTACGGTGCAGCACTTTGGGCATCGCTTTATCGTTAGGCCTAAACGCGCCTCTGGAGCCTGGGATTTTGTGAATTGTGATCCGATCGTGATGTTCTTGGGTACGAACTGATGCCATCAGTGACGATTGTGGATTGCCGAGCCCGAGAAAAAACACCCAGCCAGCCATCACATGGAAGAATCCACCGTTTACTTCAATTGATTGCTTCTGGTCCAACCATGTTGGTGCATATCGGATGGTCGGTCCTCCATGGCAGCAGATTTTACCCATATTGCACCACTTCCAAGGAATACGGTACGTCTCTCGTCCGAATGATTCGACTCGACTCCATCAAATCAAATTAGTTGTTGCAGTCGCAGAATTTGCTGTTGAACACTTGGATTTGAATCTCTTCATGAAAACAATGGCTTCCATGATGAGCATCAGCAATCCTGAAGAATAGGTCGGAACATTGCCCTATTGAAGCTTCGTGCCATAACGGCGATGCGATTGTCATGTTGTTTGTGTATGCAATCTTCTGGCTCTGAATTCATTCTCCACGGACCAACCAGGTCCTCTTGGCCATTCTATCAAACGATGATTGTACTCCTTTGCACACCAAGCGTAAGTACGAACGCCCAGTTCTGTGATACGCAGATAGAGGGTCGTGGAAGAGCTCATGGGAGCATCGAGCCAAGCTGTTCCTGGTACTCTTTCAAGACCAAGAGTACTGTAAGAAGCAACGCCAACATGCCAATATCGGAGAGAGCCAAAAAGGGACCATCCATCGTCCTTATGTTGCAACAGACGAAACAAGAAAGAAAGCTGTGGGTGGTGAGTTGTTGTGGGTTGAACCTTCAGTTGAGCCAGCAAAGCTGTCTTTTGAGAAAGATCTCAAAAGATCTCTTTAGCTTTCGATCATCTCCGCCACCATCGGTATCTCACTCCATTACAGTACTGGCACAGAGCACCAGACCTTGATAACATCCACCATGAGCAGCGAGAATCCTGTCGTCTTCTTCGACATCAAGATTGGAGGAAGTCCTAAAGGTCGCATAGAAATGGAACTTCGAGCTGATGTGGTTCCAAAGACTGCGGATGTACGTACAGGTAGCAACACAACACGACAAGCGTCAAGATTTGCCATTTCTTTCTGACTAACGTACATTCTCGTACGATACCAGAACTTTCGATGTCTCTGCACAGGTACGGTAGTAGGCTTGCTCCAATATCAAAGAAGACGAAGGTTACCTCTCGATCGACATCACCTGACCATGCGGTTTCTAAATTCATTTGTTTTGTTTGTTTTGTTTTGTTTTGTTTTGTTTTGCAGGTGAAAAGGGCACAGGAAGGTCAGTGCTGATATCATTATGTTTTAGACAACTGAGAGTTTGCTCCTGGCTGACCAGAGCAATGCATGCTCTAACCACGTATTCTACCCCGTCGTTCCATTTTCCATCCATGCAGATCTGGAAAACTACTCTTCTTCAAAGGATCCTCCTTTCATCGTGTCATCCCCAAGTTCATGTAAGCAACGAACACGAAACCAAGAAATGGCACGAATGAATAGAAAGGAAGGTTCCAACCCTTCAACATCTCTTCCATTTCAGGTGCCAAGGTGGTGATTTTACCCGTGGCAATGGCACGGGTGGGGAAAGTATCTATGGGGAAAAGTTTGCAGATGAAAACTTTACTCTCAAGCATACTGGGTAAGATAAGTTGGAAAGAACGGCTGGTTGCCCACAGCTGCATCCATCTCATCACTAATAATCTTGTTTGTGCTTCCTTTATTATTTCGTCACCAGCGCCGGCATATTGTCCATGGCCAACGCAGGTGAGCTCAAACTTGCCAAGAAATAAATGAGTAACTCACTTTCATGCCATTGCATTCTGAGTCATTCTGACCCTCCCTTTTCCTCTGCACATCATCTCTTGCAGGCCCAAATACAAGTGAGTAGAATCTAATTTATTGCCATCCCTTTCTTCTTTCCTGTCGATTATCAAAGTCCTCATGGTGTCATCATCCTGTCCCTGAATTCATAATACAGATGGCAGCCAGTTCTTTCTATGCACCGCCGAAACTCCTTGGCTAGACAACAAACGTAAGTTTTCATCATCAATCTTTCCTCCAAGACTAGCTGCAACCTTTCTACATATATCACCTCGAGCCATTTTTGAGCCGTTTGTGATTCTCATTTCCATCAACTCTTGTCCCGTCACATCATTCTCTCATGAACAACCTAACTAACGGTAGACGTGGTGTTTGGCAAAGTGGTGAGCGGTATGGATATTGTAGCGGCTATTGAAGATGTGGGAAGTGATTCTGGCAAGACACGCTTGGCAGTTGAAATTGCCGATTGCGGGCAGCTGCGATGAGACCAACAACTTCTTTCTTGCTCATGAAGAACTAAATTAATAATCAACTACATCATGTATGTAACTGACTGAAACCAAGGAAAGCTATTTCCGTTGCTGCTAGCTGGTACAACTCACTTGTGCAACACGTTGACTTTGGTTAGTTGTTGTAGAGTGGTACTGATCGCATGAAGGATGAGAAGATCCGTTTTGGTTCGTGGCATGGCGCGGCGCTAATCAAGCATCCACACTCAGCATGGCGCCGAAACTGTTTTTGGCGGGCGGCGCCTTTGGGTGTTTGAGATCTTTCAGCAGCGACTGTTCGGTTTTCCATTGTAGTTCGAATTCGGCCATGATGACGGTGACCCGTTCCATAGTCAATTGCGTGTTTTGGACAATGGCATCGGCTCCTGCACTGGTTCCAAAAAAGACTTGCGGTTTGCAGTACCCCACATCTTTGGTATCCAACTGCATCAACACTCCGCCAATTTCAAACATGGAACACCCTTCTGGGTACAGTAGTCGTCGCAAGGCGCAAATGGTAATACTTCCGGGCGGTGCCGATCGAGCCATGGTGACGTATTCTCGAAACGGACAGACGGAGTTCGTTTCATTGCTGCTGTCGCTGCTATTGTTGTTGTTGGTGGATTTCTTGTCGGCATGGCCATTCCCGCCATTCTCCTCTGGAATTATTTGATGATTCTCCTCATCATGATCAATATCCAATCCACGATCACTGGTGACCGACGAGGATCCCGTCAAACTGGCCGTGGCCACAGTGCCACTCGATTCTGACTTGTGCAACAGGGATACGTTTTGTAGCATTTCGTCGACGGTCGATCCCGGTTTGGATTCCTTGACTCGTCCGATAATTTTGGCCGGAGCACCGACTGCCGTGGCACCGGACGGGATGGGCCCCAATACGATACTGCCAGCTCCAATCTTGGCTCGATCTCCAATGACAATATTCCCCAGCAAAGAGGCATTGGCTCCAATCAAGACATCGGCTCCAACTTTGGGATGACGATCTCCCATATCCTTGCCCGTACCTCCCAATGTGACACCGTGCAACAAGGTACATCCATCTCCAACCGTGGCCGTTTCTCCAATGACAATTCCAGTTCCATGATCCAACAATATCCCGGCCCCCATGGTGGCCGCGGGATGGATATCCAATCCAAAGACGGCCGACGCCTGCGATTGCAGCCAGAGAGCCACCAGGCTCTTTTTCTTTTTGCGTTTGCCATTATTGTTTGTTGCCAATGCCAAATGCCACTTGTAATGCGCCGCTCGATGGGCCACCAAGGCGGCAAATCCCTTTAAAAAGAGAATCACTTCCAGTACGGAATCAACGGCGGGATCCCGATCGCACACGGCGAGCGCATCCAGACGGACCGCTTCGGCCATGGTATGACCGGCTTTCCCAATTTCGGTCGATGCGAGAGCATCGGCGAGGATTCCATGCAGTGAATGGGGACAAAACATGGTCGGTTTGTTACTACTACTAGTAGTAGTAGTCCCTTGTTTGTGACAGGGTTGCAGCAGCATGCGGTAGGTGATGGTGCACGCCACGGCATCTTCAAAGGTCCTGACACCCTCGGCCAAAACGGTATTCTTTAATAGCATGGTCAATTCGGGTTCCTCTTCCAGGGCTTGCAGGGCTTCTTCCCGCAGCCGACGTGATAAATCGTCCAATTCCGAGTCTGTTGTCATGGTGGAAATCTAGTTTGGTTTGTGTCTGGGTGGTTGATGGGTATACCTGGTACATGCAGTATCTTGTTATCTTGTTCTTGTTTTTGTGTTTGCTCGGTTCGTATCTTTTTGGATGTGGTCGTTTCGAATTCGGCTGGACGTTCGAAGAACTTCGTGGCCGAACCTCTTGATGCTAGAAAAGTGTGCGTCTGAAGCAAACAGACCCAAGCTGGCTGGGGGGCCCAAACGGAATTGTCAAAATCTGCAGTACCATGAAAAGGGCTGTCCAGGGCGTGGAGATAGACCCTCAGCACCTGCCAATGTCCTCAAATTTGCCCATGAGAAGGAATGTAAAAGCCTGCGGCTGCCAGTGTTTTTGTTGTGAGGAGTGTGAACTTCTAAACGTTTGCAATTCTTTTTTGTAGGCCCAGCTAGTAACCCAGCAACACCAATCATCGTTGCTCAGCCACGTTTTGCTTGCTGATTTAGATTACTAGATGCACTGGCCTCCACAAACGATAACTTTCCGTAAAGTCGTGTGTCTGACTGACTGACTGGCGGATCCTGTTGGTCTTTGCAGAATCATGCTACCGTGCCGTACCCATTTATTTCTGTTCACTGGACCAACAAGCAACCCTTGCAAGTTCTTCCAAGGGAAGGTGGAATTGAACAGCTTGTGTGACAGAGGTGCAGCGTACTGACAGCAATTCCCACCCCATTACTGGTACCCGGTACAGCGTACCGGTACATGTACCGGTACCGAACCACAAAATACCGATTGTTGTGTAGCTTCGTCCCAAAGTTGACCATTCCAAGGACAGCAGTTCAGTGACGGCGCACATCTCGGCACGCTTCTGCTGACGCGCTTGTGGGAACCAAAAATCGTGTCCCTCCGTTCATTTCGAAATTTTGTTGTCGAACGCATCCATCTTTTTGCCGATACCTCTCGATAGGGACGTTGTTTGGAAAATTGGCATCACGAGTAGGTTGTCTGCAAGAAGCAATAGGTAACGGCCGTACAACACCTTTTCGCACTTGTCAATTTTGCGTTCTTTCGAAGAGCCAATCGAGACAATGACAAGATTTCAACGACGGGTAGCGACCATCGCTTTGCTGAGCCTTTTGGTCCCCTTCAAACCGACACATGGTTTTTGGCTTAGAAATGGCGAGAGAATTGACAACAATGACGAGCACGATGATGGCAACATGCAACGACAAGCCCAAGTAGTGTTCGATTTGCCAACGCAAGAGCCAAGCTCGAACCTCACAACAACCACACCCTCCACTGGTCTCCCCAGCATTGCTCCCTCCACTGCACCAAGTGAGTCTCCTAGTACTGGGCCCAGTGAGACTCCTAGCACCACTACGCCTAGTCAAATCCCTAGTACGGTTCCATCATCCGGTCCCAGCACTGTTCCCAGTGGCACGCCAAGTGTGCAAACGAGTAGTGAATCCATCGAAGCAACTACCACAGCTCCCAGTATGCCTCCAAATACAAATTCTACCAGTGTTCCAACCGTATCCTCCCAGACGAGTGCTCCATCAACAGCAGGCGCAGCGGCAGAAACTACTGGCAGTCCCACAGGTAATCCCGGGGAATCAGTGGTTCCACCCGATGTCGACCCCGAAGGACCGGAAGAAACTGCCGAAGAGGAAGAACAAGAAGATGCTGACGTCGTTCAAGCGCCAGTTGCCTTAGTCGTCGCAACGGCGACAAGAAGACCGAGCAGTCCTCCCGTTGCAGCGACAGCAACTGAGACTCCATCACAAACGCCATCACAAGCACCTTCGCAAGCACCCACAGGTGGCTCTGACCATAGTACTTCTTCTCCTACAGCCGCAATGGAGACATTGGTTGCACAAGCTGTCCAAATCAGCCGTGATCAGACAACTGAAACAGAAGAAATCACCCGTGATCAGACAGTGGATACAGAAGAAATCACCCGCGATCAGACGGTTGAAACAGAAGAAGAAATCACCCGCGATCAGGCAGTTGAAACAGAAGAAATCACCCGCGATCAGACAGTTGAAACAGAAGAAATTACCCGTGATCAGACAGTTGGCACAGAAGAAGAGGTAACGCCACCAGCATTCTATGAGGGAGTTTCTTGGTTTGATCTCCCAATGAACGCCAAAGCGGCAGCCATGACTCTGGGATATGACCAAACAGCGTGGGATTTCAAGACGAGAGTGTTCTCAGATTCGATGTCTTGGGGTAACATGACACTCGAGGAACAAATGTCGGCGACAATCTTGGGATATGACGAGGCTACATGGAATGCCAAGATTGCAGACCCTCCAGAGCCAGCACAATCAGGGGTTCCGCATGGCACTGGTGATGGATGGAGCAGTACCTGGACTATGACTGATCCCGCCCCGACTGAGGGCACTGCCGATGCAGACCAAGATACCACAAACCAGGATGAAGCTACAGGATCGTCATCCGAGGCAGATGGCTCTCCAACCGACAGTAGTGCTGCCTCTGTCCCAGAAAAGGAGGATTCTGCGGTGTCGTCGGCAGCTTCTGGTGCATCGGCTGAAGCGGGAACTGGTGAAGCTTCGAGACCAGATTACTTGGCCATGGATTGGGTCGACTTGCCAGAAACACAACAGAACGCCGCGAAGGAGCTCGGATATGACGAGAATACTTGGGACAACGAAATACCAGTGTCATCAAGGTATTTGTACTGGAACCAAATGACATTTGCACTCCGGCAAGCCGCCAAGAAGTTAGGATATCGGCAGACATCCTGGAATGAACGTGTAATGGAAGCCCCAGATCAAGGCTCTGTAGCTCAAGTTGTCTCGTCGTCGACTGATCAGGTGACGTTTTATACTCCTCCCGCAACTGTGAATGTGAATCGTCGTTCGAGAGAACAGGAGGATGAGGAGGAGGACGAGGAAGGGGAAGAAGTCGAGGAGGAGGAAGCAGACGAAGGAGTCATCGACGTTGAGAAAGGTGACAAGCGAAACAAAAGGGAAAACGAAACACCCGACATGCAGCAAATGAAGGACGAAATGGATGGCTTGAAGAAGGACCTTAAGAATGCATTGGACATGCTCAAGGCGCATGAACAAGTACTAAAGGCATTGCAAGGTCTCGACCCCGATGCAACTATTGGTTCAGTTCAACAGCTTGTACAGATGGGAAGATATAAGGATAAGAAAAACGGGTCAGAAGGAAGAGGCGGTGCTGGTGGAGGACAACTTGTGAGACCGGTTGCATATGCACGCGACTACGACGACAACGAAGAGTAAGCTGCCCTGTTATGCCCCTTTTGAAGCCGGTCTCTCCAGACTCTAACCTTTCCCTTTTGCTTCGTTGTCTTGTTAAAAGCTCGGTGAACGACAATGCTTCGAAAAGGTCAATGTCGTTCTTTGGACGGAACAACGATGGTGACAGCGAAAGCATAGACTCATACGACGGCGAGGACGACGGAGACGGCATTGATCGCGGGTACGATGTGTTCAGAGTTCCACTTCGAAGATCAAGCGGGGTTACTGCCGAGGAAGAGTACGAGTACGAAGATGAAGATGAAGGGAGAGTCCCGTTCAGAAGGTCTAGTGGGACGATCCTAGGTGTCGGAGTACCATAGGGAACGGCTGCTTCAGGACCTCGAATCCTCCCGTGCAGTTTGTACAATCAGTTCATTTCTACATTCTACTACTAGACTTCACATTTCCAATATTCAACCATCAACCTAGATGACGAGCCTTCCTGTCAATCATTTCGCCCCATGGCCGAAGGAACGTGTTTCTGCACGACGAAGTGGTGATGCAGGTTGCGGCTCATCTGTCCAACGGAACAGCATCATCCAAATTCTGCGCCTTTGCTGAAGTGGTGCTCCTTCCAGCAATCAGCAGTGGGGTGCTTAGCCACCGGCAAAGTTGAACGGTAGCACGGTGCATGCATATGGTCGAAAAGTGTAGAGCACACTGCACCTGCTCGATAGCTCACCAACAACCTCTTGGATAAATGTGCCTTGCAGCTGTGCCGTAGCTAAAATCTCTAAAACAAGGACAAGAAATATCATTCGGAGCTGGCTGGGCTACGTACCGGTAAGCTCCGAACCTTCCTCGTTGGGGTTACCGGTATGTCATAAGTGTCTGTTTGCACACCATAGCTCGAGAAGCGGCCGAGGTGCGGTCTATCATCTGCGTTGGAATCAGGTCATTGGCGATGCAGAAAGGGATCACAGCCAATGCAACCGACATGAGGTTGGAAGGAGAGCACGAGGAGGAACCCTTCCTCTGCGAAGAGCCACAGTTCCAGCCTCCGATCGCCGAACTCAAAATAAAATCGTGAACGCGGTTTTTGCGCCAAACTTTGTTTAACAATCGCGTCGTACCGGTTATCAAATTCATTAGTTCATCCAATTCTGGAACGGTCCAAACAGAACAACATCGCCAATCAAATGGCGCGCCACATTCTGTGAGACCATCACAATTTTGTTTCGAGGGAAAGGTAGGAACTTCAGTTTAGTTGTTGACTTGACTCGAATCTGTGTATGTGGTCGAAATACTTTTTATAAGATGATGTTGCTACTGCGTTGACTGGTGTTTTGCGTTGATGTCGTGGCCAAGCAAGTCCCCTTTCGCCGTCTCACACAATTGCTTTTCTGATCAACACTTTCCATACTTGTTCTTTGGACCAACAACAGAGGAATTTGGCTAACTCAACCAACAACCAACTGCACCATGAAGACATACGCCATTGTATTCCACATCTTGGGCTTTACCGGGAAATACGCTGAGGGAAACAGGTGGCTTCGAGTTCCAACTCCTGTTTCCGGTGCCAACCAAGAGTTGAAGCGACAGCGACGAATGAACTATCTACGAGTCGACGCCGACACTAGACCCTTGCTGTCGACGACAAGTACCGGAGAAGGATGGGAAGAAGAACAAAAGGGGGAGATTATGATGGAGCTGGACCAAATAGGGAACTTTGGCGCCTTTGAAGACGAACCAGAAAGTAGTCTGATGGATGCATTCGTCATTGAACAGGTACAAGATTCGACGGACGAGGAAGAAGAACAACCGGGAGGAGGGACAGCTGCAACCAAATCTACATAAATGAATCGTAACCGAGGATAACTGGCTGGGTCGATCGGTGATTGGCGCAAACATGCATTATAGAATAGAAGTTGCAGACATGCAGCCTACTATTAACTCAGCACTCGCAACAAAACCAACAAAAGCAAACTAGTTACCGATAGGCAGAGTGTAAACATTGCCCGCTCTAGCTAGAATTATCTTAAAGCTCCAATAACATCAAGTTCATGTTTTAAAATTAGCACTCCCAACTTTTCTGTAATAGCTGATCGCTACCGGTATGCTGCCTTACACCCGCTTGGCTATTAATACCATTGGGTAGAGTCCTCCTCGCTTGTTCCTCCCAATAGTTCACGCCGTGCCGGAAGTGCCAACACGATCTTTCCCACGGCCTCCATACTCTAGCTAGAATTGCCTCTCGTCGAAACATCATAGAATAAGAGAGTTCATGGGGCATGTCCCTGAGATACAAAACGGTCCCAAAGAAAGCGAAGGTGGAAGAACTCTGTCAAGCCGTGGATTGGCGACTTCCAGTCCCCAAAACAACGATGCACGGATGAAAGATCCAGTCTAAGTATGCAGAAAGGATTTAACGCAATCAGCGAGGTGGCATCCATTGTCTCTAAGTGAAGGTTGTTCATGTCACATTTTTTGACAGTTTGTTCCTTCGCGCAAAAACTAGGTCGTGTCCTCATCCAACTCCTATTCTTCTTTGTCTGTTGTTGCAATTGTGAGCATTCTAAAGTAATTCATCCCTTCCATCTCTCACTACTAGTATTTTTCGTTGTCATCTGACTTGGTCAAGAACTCCATCAGCATGAAGTCACAGATTCTAGCTCTTCTTCTGTGCCTGTTTTTGCAACAGGTGGCAAGTGAACATCTCCCCAGAACCAAAGGGGTTCGAGGTGCAGAGAAGCGAGCTCTACAAGGCAAAGAAGATAAAGGCAAAGGTAAAGATGGCAAAGGGAAAAAGGGAGTACTTGGCGTTACGGAAGAGACGGATCGAGCCGAGACCACCTATGCCACTGGCGAGGATGGTAACGCATTGTACATCCCGGTGGATGTAGACGGTTTCGAAGGTAGAGACTACTTTGACTTTGAAGATACGGAGGATGCTATGTTCCAACGTCAGGATCAGGCAGATAACAGTACGGTGATTGATGTGGCACCTGCAGTTCAGGAGGGGGAAACGGCGATTGACGCGGCCCCTGAGATTGAGGTTGAGGAGTTGGAAGACATTGATGTGGCCCCTGTGGTTGAGGAAGAAGCGGAGGAAGAAGTAAAACCAGACAAGAAGGGAGATTCAAACGATGAGGAGGAAGTTGAAGAGGAGGAGGAAGCTGTGGAGGAAGTGGAAGAAGAGCTGGTGGAGGAAGTGGAAGATGTACCACAGGCCTCCTCGCAGGTTAACCTACGAATCTTGGAACTAGAACTTCAAGTGGATTCGCTGATGCAGCTGAATGAAACTGTTGCAGAGCTTCAGGCTCAGATGAGCAGTGCCTTGCACACAATCAACACCCACGAAATGCTCATCAGCAGTCTTGCTGCGTTGATAAATCCAGCAGACTATAGTGTGAGTGCACAGCTGACCCCACCACCACACATCTCAATTGTGAGGAACAAAGAAAATCCTACTCCGTAAGTCAAGATTCGATTCTGCGGTATCCCAATATACGTACCGTACCGGTAGTCTAGGTTGCTGCCAACTGTGGAATTTGGTAAGGACCGACAAGGAACATGACGTGTAGGAGGAATGCGCAAAACAAAATGCAACACAGCTTCGTTCTAGCGCGATGCAAGGCTAGCTAAAGCTACACTAGCACAAATCAAATCATCTTTTCCGTTCTTCCAAATAGGCTGTAGCGGTCGACGCGTTGCTACCTTAAGTGGTTTTACTCAGGATAAGAACATATCGTTGCGATGCCGTGGCGGGTCGGTGAGCTGCTCGTGTTTGTCTAAATGCAAAACGCTGGTATCTCACCGACAGCTATGATAGCTAGTGACGACAACGCCCTCCTATTCGCTCCAGGTACCAGGTAGGCCAAAGCAAAGTTCCCGGCATAGAACTGCCACCAGTTGGTAGGCCCTCTCGATCGCTCCAACCCATGGACTCGGTTTCGTTTCCCTTGCTCTCATCATGAGCCGTAAATACAATCCAAAAACCACACTCCCGCTCGTCTAGTAGGTTTCGATTGAAGAATTTGGCAACAACACCCTTCTCTATTTCCTTCCTATGGCTGGTTGCTACAATATGTATTATTTGGCTTCGTCGCCCCCGCCTTGTACCTTTTCTACTCGTTTCTTTCGGACGTCCCAATTGAAAATGCGCGTCATACTCACTTCCGAGGTGACAATTTGATCCCTGACAAACGCCAGATCATTCTTTACTTCGCCGAATTCTTTCCGAGCTAATTGTTCATTTTTGGACAAGAATTCAATGGCATCTTCGTAGGTATACTCCAGCATGACATTGGCTCCAAGCCAGAGATTGACGCTGCCCTGATCCAAGTCCAGCTCTGCTTTGCCGTAGACATCGTCTGCCAAGCTATAGCGAGTTATGATTGTCTCCTTGTCGTCGCGTTTCTTTTGCAGGCTTTTCACCAATGCCAGAGAGGTTTCCATTTCGGGGATCTTGGATTTTAGGTTGGCCTCTGCATGCATGATTGTTGGACCCAAGCGGAAATAAATAACCAAAAGACAACCAATTTGGCAAAATTAATGTTGTGTGAGTTTTTAGAATAATGATACATACATGCCAAAACACAGACATGAAGATGAAAAAATTGGCCTGGCATCTCGACACAGCAAACGCCGCACACTTACGCTTTTGGGTCAAACTGATCTCGTAGGTCTTGAATTTGGAATGGAGCTCCGTGTAGGCGCCAATTAGCAGCTCAGCGGAAGCCGGTGGCGTAAAAGATTCTGCAAAAGCTCCGACATCATCAATGAACTTGACAACCGGGATCCCTCGCTCATTCTCTCCATCTGTAATGGACAATAGACTCATATCAGGGATATTCTCCTCGCCCTCAGTGGCGGCGGTAGCATCGGCAGTCTTGGCTTCTGACATGATTATCTATCTCTTGGCTTTTCTGTTCTCTTGATAAGCAATCGACTGCGATAAATGAATCCTTGTGTAGTCAGTTGATCGTTGTCTGGGAGATGGATAACCGGTTGACGACTTGTATTAGTGCTGAAGCAGGGGCCGGTATCAGCGCACAAATCTGCCGCTTCGAAATCTTTGGGCCATGGTCACGGTTGGCTGGCTGTTGGCTGCAGAGTGATGACGAAGAACGCGTGAACGGACTAAAATACCCAGAGCTCACGATTTCCAATCCGAATAGCCATTGTTAGTCGAATAATATTCGAACACTCCATTTCGAAGTCCCTATCGCACTTTTCAGAAGTGAGAACCGATCCTCAGCATACGGTAGCAATACTAGCTAGTACTACCGGTATGCATACATTGGTTGGTTCAGTTAGTTGTATGTTACTGATAGGCTTAAGCTAGTAATAGTACACGTAGTTGAAATGCAGGCATGAAAGAGCAGTAAGGTACGGGAGCTAGCTAGGCGCATCTTGCCACCAAGATACCGTTCGTGATCATGGAGTTCAGGCAGCACTCATCCGCTTGAGTTTTGGCAACAGTGTCGTCACTTAACTCGGAAACCAAAGGCTGGATACTCTCCAGTAGCATCTGGGAAGTGCAAACATCACCTAGTTCGAGATGGATCTCTGCCATGTTATTCATAATGGCCAAAGCAAGGAGGCAGACGCTCTCCATCAAGGGTGCTTCGACAACTTGCAAGAGTTCCCAGCTCATTTCGTAGAACGACAACGCCTTCTCCAGGAACGAGTCTTTGCCCGTCTTTTTGGCTTGTGCGTGACGACCCAACCCCATGTTGAACACGACCATAGAGATGCAGAAGCTGTGCTGACTGTGCGTCAGCAGCTCATACTCGTCTTCCTTGTCTGCGTGAAATAAAAGGGCCCGAGAAAAGATGTAAAAGTTGCTTCCTTCTTGCAAGACAGGGATGTTGCCGCCTGACAGGAAGGACGCCGTAGTGCAAGATGCAATGCTTCTCTGAGCAGCCAACATGATCTCTGCCAAGGATTCATGGTGCTCATCACCTGCTTCCATCCTCACGGGCAGATCTCTCAGGATGGTGGCAGCCGCCGCGAGGCTCTCAAGAGCGGCATCATAGTCTCCCAGGGCAAGGAAGGAGGCCGCTTGCTTGTTGAATCGGGATGCTTTGTAGAAATTCATGTTTCTTGGAGTCGATATGGTCATGGGTGCAGTAATCGTTGAACAAATCTACTTTTGAAATAATGGGAAGAAGTCTTCTCCTACTCGTTCTTGGAGGTGCGGGTTGTGAGACCACGAGTGTTTAGCTGGAGCGAAGGCTCTTATGAAACTGGATGAGCTACTGGATGTCAGGATCTTTGACCAGCAGCGACAAACTTGATAATAACAGGTCCCGGTGTCCCGGTTGCTTCTTCGTGGAGGTTTTCTTGGGCTGTTTGGTGCTCCACCCCTTGCTTCTTTCGATTTCGAACGTCTTATGCTTCGGTTGCTGCAAGCTCCGGAAAAGGAGCAGGTTGATTGAAGATTCAAGTGCCGAGTGCCGAAGGGAAACTGGAAAAGTGATACTACTTGCTTCGACAAGTAATTGCTGACCACCTGTACCACCAAACACCGGTCCACCGGTACGGGGTACCTGGTACTGGCACTTTCACACAAAGTCCCTTTTAAAATGGGGATATGGGTTATGGAGGTGTTGAGTGTCTCTGTCTATACCGGTACTACCGGCACGCTGGAAGAAGCAGTGCATCGGACATTGGGCAATGCAACAGCTGGCTGGCTACGGTAGCCAAACATTGGTCCAAGGCAATGCAGGAAATAGTTAGTTGATTTGTGCCACCCCCCTGGAAACTGGGTGGCTGCGAATCCTTTGGGGTGAATAATCTTCTGTTTTCTGCCGCGACCAAGACTGAATGGAAGTTCAACCTTCTGCGAAGGCACTTTGGTAATAGTACAGCTACCGAAGCCTCGAAGTACAGTCGTACTCAGTATGCATTTTGTGTACAATGTGTACCACTTACTTTTACTCATTATTTATTTATTTGCTTTATTTACCGCATGTACGCATGAACAATTTTCAGAAATGCGAGCAAGGTTGAGGAGCGCTTTGTTGTAAAAAGACCGTGCTTTTGTGATCTGAAATACAGGTACTAGTACTCTACTGGAGTAGTCTACCTGTCATCAGATTCTGTCATCAACAGCTATGCGCTGCTTGCCGCTAGCTAGCTAGCAGCTTCATGTACCACATAATACTTTCAATCACATGTACAGCGAGCACTCGACTCGTCTCTCGAGTGTTCGAATGTCGAGCTATGTCGAATGGCTACTAGCCATTGTCGACTACTGGAAAGTACCTTTGAAAGGTATCTCAAATCTCAAGGCTCCAGGCAGAAACCCGAGTGCATCTTTTCATCTTTCTCGTTTCTCGGTGGTTTTGCGCTGTTTCATCATTACGGTACTACCGTATCAAGCCCGCTAGCTAGCCGCTAGAGCCAGCTAGCTCTAGCTAGGTACTCAGTAGCTAGTGGCTACTAGTAGCCACCGAGCTGGTACAATGTCACGATAATAATATGTAGTCTAGCTTCTTGCTTCTTGTGAGAAGTTCAATAAGAAGAGACAATGCGTTTTCGCTTTTCACCCTGGCACCTTGCACTAGACACATCATAATGTCCCTTTTATGGGCTAGAGGAGCTGATTACGTGTGCGTAGCTAGCAGGAGGATGCTCTGTCGAAATTGAGTAGTGGTACAGAGAGGCAAAGATTACATTCTTCCATTCAACAGTTAGTTGGTGATTACAAAAGGACAGAAGGTCCAAGGAGCTGTCCAAGGTCAGGGATCAGGAGGTCACCTAGATTCATAGAGGTGCGGTGTTCTGTACCAGGAGGGGCTCCGCTTACGTCACACTCGGTACCAAAAAACCGAAAGCCACTTTTCAGCCACGCCATCATCAACCCGCGAAAACCCGTTGTTTTGACCTGCGTGCGGGTTTATGCGAGTCTGCAACGGGTCTTCGCGGGTTTGTGAGGGTTTGTGCGGGTGTAGGTGGGTTTGCTAGTGGTTTGCGAGTCACGAATCGCGGGTAAATGCGATAGGGTGCGGGTTATTGCAGGTTAGACGTACACAAGCACGAGTTTTTGTGAGTTAGGGTGTGGGTTAACGCGAGTCGATTGGCTTATCAGTTTACGGGACTCAATATCCAGCAATACTCGCCGAACCTGACGTCACCGGAGCCCCTCCAGTACCAGTATGATAACCTTTCTTTTGCCTATGGGGAGGTGAAGGCCCTGGCAGCCACCGCAGGGAGAAAAGGGAGACCGAGGTGGTTAGACGTTAACGGCTAACGGTCTAATTACCATGCGTGAGAGGGTGTCTTCTTTCGATCGTGGTTGTTGAAGTGCTTACCGGTGAAGTGAGTTAACACGATTGAAGGTGCTTACCAGTGAGGTTGAGACGGGGGATGTCATAAACGGGAGTGAGAGTCATGGGTTGGAATGACGTACTTCATCAGACGCAGGCGCAGGAAGCACAGACGGGAGGGGTTGAAGAGATTGACCAAGTCAGAACAGTATTTTGAGGGGGTGCTTCGTGGAGGTAGATCTAGGGGGTTTAAGCAGTGGCTGTGTAGTAAACCCATGGACATTTTCTTGGTGAAGAAGGCACCACTGATTGTTGATTAATTGGATTGATTTAGTAGCATATTGAAACATGACGACCATGGCGAATTCTATTGCTAATGCAATACACGGCTCTTAGCCTTATTCGCGACTCGATCCTAGATAGGGTTTGAGTTCGACTCATGACTGAGTCTTTCGTGAATAGTCATTGAGACAGGTTCTCATGACCGCTAGTCATACTAGGTCGATGGTGAAACATCGCGCTAGATATTTAGCTGGTGTGGAGAGATTCCACGCTACTAGATAAATGCTAGACGAATCTTCCACGCGTTCCGTTTTTGGATCGTGGAGTGAGTAGGATTGCTTACCGCAACCTACTCTATCACACTCTACAGTCTCCCGCGGGAGTTCAGATCTACGTCCTTTGATGGTGGATCTCTCTCGTTTGATTAGTTTTCATAGCTTTCTAATCCTCATAACTTTCATTCTCTCAAACTCAAAACACTCGAAAGATCTTACACTAGCTTTTAGCGTAGTGCATTTTGTTAACAAACACAATAGCTTTCAGACTACCCTCAACCTATTCCTCACCATGAAGATTGCCAAAGACGATCACACCAGCTTCGAGTCTGAGCTGCGCGACAAACCAACCTTCTCTTGCACACGCTAAAAGCTAGTGAAAGATCTTCGAGTGTTTTGAGTTTGAAGAATGAAAGTTATGAGAGGATAGAAAGCTATGAAAACTATTCAACGAGAGAGATCCACATCAAAGGTCGTAGATCTGAATCTTCCCCGGGAGACTGTAGAATGTTAAGAGTAGGTTGGTAGCAATCCTACTCACTCCACGATCCAAAACGGAACGCGTGGAAGATTCGTCTAGCATTTATCTAGTAGCGTGGAAGTACCCACGCTGGCTAAATATCTACGCGATGTTTCATCATCACCTAGTATGACTAGGTGGTATTGAGAACCCTGTCTCAAATAACTATTCACGAGAACTCATCATGAGTCGAACTCAAACCCTATCTAGGATCGGGTCGCAATAAGGCTAAGGCCGTGTTTGCATTCGCCCCTGACAAGGGTCACGGAAGCACGACAGCAGCGGACAAGGAGAACATATGAATTAAAGTGCGGGGCACTCTCCGGAGATTGATGTAGACATGTGCGTCGCACGATGGCAATCCTACAAGGGGACCAGGCCTTGTATGGGTGTAAATACCTTATGTCCAAGTCTGGTAGACTGTCGCTACTGGCGGTGTATTTGAGCCGTACAGTGCCATTGTTATTGACTCGGTCTGTGTGGTAAGGACCTTGTGCGTTGGCAACCGTACAACGGTCTGATAACTGCTGAATAATCATAGTTCGTTGACAATGTTTGTTGATGAGGGACACGTGCGTGTTCTCCTTATCGGTTTTTTTCTGGATAAGTCGTTGGTGACTTCCTTAATGTATTCCGGTTTGCTTTGAAACGGATGTGGTGAATCTTGTCACGATTGACGCGCTGAACTTGCGACGAAGTCCATTCATCCCGGAGAGTCTCTGACCTCTCGCGGGATCACGTTTCTGTCATGACAACTCAGCCGGTCATGGATACGAACCCACGTCTGTTTCAGAACGATGGTTACTCCGTCTGCTGTCTTGGAGCAGCCCTGTAGTTCATTGGTCCAACGAATCCAAAGTTCCTTCTGTTGGTAGGAAGAGATAGCTGGATCGCATCATTATCTTTTTAGTTAAAGTGGCTTCCTTCTCGAAGTCCAATTTCTGGATACTCAAAGTCTTCCTTTCGAGGAAGGCCTGGTAGTGTTGATTTTAACCCGGACTTCTGAAGTCTTGGAAAAGTATCTACTATTCAACGTACATCAGATCGGCGTCAGTTAGGATGATTGATCATCATGTATGCACGGACATTCCTAAGTCATGCATGCGTGTTCTCATCTCCTTTGGAACATGTCGGACTATTACAAGGCCCATTGGCAACCTTGGTACTCGTGCTTTCCCCGCGACAATGGTACAGTGTCTTCGAGTGAGGTGACAGCTCGATGTGATAGTGCCCATGTCCAGTCTAGACTAGTAGCGACTTGAATCATCTAGATTCAAGAGCATGTCCTGATTTGGGATAGGAAAGGCTTCCGTATCTTTTTGTTCGTTCCCGGAAATATAGAGAGAATCGTACAGAACCATCTCTTGAGCGAATGATAAAAGTTGGTTGCCGCCACTCGGGCCGATTCACCTTCTTGAGTACTCTTCCTCACAGAGACGTTCAACTCCTTCTTAAGAGTGTTGGAATGGACCTGGATGAGGGAGCCTTAGTATAATAGGATAGCGTGGGAGAAGTTCTACTGTTGTCCATCGCAACTCTCCAAAGTATCCTCACTGGGCCGGAGCACTTGTTTGAAAGGCATTGAGGCATTCTTGCTCTTCTTTATTTAACGGTTTTCGACTTGGCACATCTGCTCTTAAGTCGTCTGTTTGTATGTTGATAAAGAATCTTTTTGAGACTATGCATTGTGCTGACAGCTTCAGGATCGCGGAATGTGAGAATTTCTCCTTTCTATCGGTAGCGCCATCTT